GCTATTGTCTGGTTTTGATGCATCAGTAAAGATGTAGTGCCATTCATTCCATTCAATGTCAGTTATAAACATAAATTTGGCATTCAATTCTGAATCATTTTTTGATAACCCAAAATCATATTTAATATTAGGAGATAAAACTAAAGATTGATATGAGCATTTATAAATGGGAAAACAGGACGATGTAAAAGTGGGAGATTCTATGGATTTATATTTTTCATAACTTTGTATTAAACATGGAGGTTTTTTATGTTTCCAATAAGATGAAGACGAAATAAAGATATGTAGTTGAGATAACTTTTGAATAAGCGGATGATCAGATAATTGTAAACAACGAAAAAAGAAGCGATCAGATAGATATTGCCTTCTTAAAACCAAAGGTGGATCACCGACTTCGAGCTGTAAAGCATTGATTGGACTTGATTTCATTGCTCCAGAGATAATCCTCAAGGCCTTTGATTGAATTAAATCCAATTTCTTAAAAGCAAATGAACTTCCTGGAGCTAACAAAAAAGTTCCATAATCAATGACACTCCTTATAAGACCATTATAAGCAAGTTTTAGTGAAACGGGATGTGCTCCCCACCAAACTCCAGCAAGGCACCTAAGAATGTTGAGGTTACGCTCACATTTCGTAGAAATATAATTACAGTGGGACAGACCTGTTAATTTATTATCTAGCACGATACCTAAAAATTTAATTTCAGTCTTTATAGGAATGTATGAGTTATCATAAAGCACCTTAATTTGTTGCGGTGATCTCATTCTTGAAAACAAAACTACACTACTCTTGGTTACAGAAAGATTAAGACCATTTGCATCTAACCACGTTTTTAACAAATCTAATGAATCAGATAATTTGGCAGAAGCAGATTCTATGGACTTCGCAATAAAATATAATAAAAGATCATCAGCATATTGTAAAATTTTGACGGATTTATCAAGGAATAATTCTAGATCGTATGTGTATATGTTAAATAAGATTGGACTGAGAACAGATCCTTGTGGAAGGCCTTTCCATACTGTTCTAGATAATTTGGTATCTTCATCTAAATTCATATATATCGTTCTTTCTGATAAAATATTGATAATGAAATTAGAAAGCATTACCGGTACATTTAGAGCTTGTAATTTAGTTTTTAAAATAGAAATTATTACATTATCATAGGCAGAATTTATATCTAAAAAGGCTGAGAGGATTGACAAATTTTGTGAGAAAGCTATATGAATATCTGAAATAAGAATGCTCACATTATCTAAGGTGCTCTTACCTTTCCTAAAACCAAACTGGTTCGGGGATAGTAAGTTATTACTTTCTAACAACCATTCTAGACGGTTTTTCACTAAATGTTCAGCTAGCTTTAGTAAGACAGAGGAAAGTGCAACAGGACGGTATGAAGATGGTTCAGAAGGTGGTTTATGAGGCTTTAGAAATGGTATAATAATCTGAGACTTCCATGAAGTAGGTATATTTCCCGAAATAATTATGGAATTAATTATATTTAAAAAGTAAATTAATGTCGCATCGCTAGCATTTTTAAAAAAGGAATACGGTATACCGTCTTCTCCCGGTGCAGAGTCTTTAATAGAAGCTAGAACACCTTTAAGTTCTACTAGAGTAAAAGGAGAGTCAAGTTCGAATAATTCGTCAGAGACGGATAGAGAAATATTGTAAAGGCATTCCGGCACATAACTAGGAGCAAGGCGATCTAAAAATTTATTCGCTAAAGTTAAATCGAGTGCAGAACGTGATGTATGATCACTAAAGGCAGATCTGAATCTTTTAATATTATTCCAAACGACTGATGAATTAACTTCTGGACAGATAGAAGAACAAAATCTTCTCCAGCCTTCTAATTTCTTTTTTTTCAGTAGTTTTCGAGTAGAACGTGAAACTGCGGTGTAAATTTCAAAATTTTCTGGTGTCATGTAATTATTATAATTTTTTTCAGCCTCTTTACGATTTTTAATTGCTTCCGTACAATCTTTGTCCCACCAAGGTGGCGAGGGAATTTTCCCTGAAGCACTATTTTTAACAGGAAATAATAAATCAGCAACCTCCTTCATATTTATCATCAAGTCATTACAACATTGATGTTCATTTCCATGGTAAACAATAGGTAACTCCGATATTTTATTATCTAAATATTGTTTGTAAATATTCCAGTCTACATTTGATAAATTATATTTAAGCCGAGGACCACTCTTTCGACTTGAGGGAATGGAAATTGGAAAAGAAAGAATGAGGGGAAAGTGATCGCTTCCGAAAGTAGAGGAATGAGGATACCACGACAGTGAAGAAGCTAAATCAGAAGAACATATTGAAATGTCAGGAGCACTAAACCCTTCATTCGGTGCAGTTCTACGTGTTGGTACATCTGAGTTAATAATACATAAGTTGTAAGTGTCAATTATCGTCAGGAGTTTTCCACCATAAAAATTAGAAGTAGAACTGCCCCACGATTGGTGTTGAGCATTAAAATCGCCCATTACGAGAAAAGGTTTAGGTAAAATTGAAAATAATTGTTCTAGTTGTGAATATATTTGGCATGTAGGATCAGGAATATATAAAGTAACAAAACAGATACCATTTATAATTATAGCAGCTGCATTAATGCCGCTATATACAGGAAGCGAAAAAGAAGAAAAAGGAAGGAGTTTTTGACCAATATGGCAACACCGCCATATCCGTCAGCTCTATCATCACGGAGACTTGTAAAGCCTGAAATCCTAAAAGGATATCCTGGCTTTAACCAAGTCTCTTGTAGAGCTATTATAAAAGGATTATATTTATTAATCAAATAAAATAAGTCTGATTTCTTGTTTGTTATGCTACGACAGTTCCACTGAATTATTAGGACTTTGTAATCCATTGTGAGAAGTTAATAATTGAGAAAATACATTGTAAATGGCATCGTTGGACGGTGGTAAAGTTGTTTGTATCATTTTCGATTGCGATAACACTTTAATAAGCATGAGAATAATATCAAAGATGGATTGATTATTGTCAATATTATTTGATGATAATGCACAACCATTAGAGGGAGCAGGAATATTATATTCCTTAACTATGGCTTCATGGGCAGAACGATCATATCCTTGTTGTGCTTTTTGAGGAGTGCGTGGTTTAAGTGTAACTGTTTTTTTATATGATGATTGAATATGTGGTAATGATGATTTCTCTTTGAGGAAAGAAGATTGAAAATGAGATTTATTGGACGGAGATGATGATGTTAATACATCTGAATATAGTTTAGAAGTGGGAGGATGAAATTTTGATGCTTCAGCATAAGAAACACAACTGTGGGCCATTGTTTCTTTAATGGCTTTCTGACGTGCATATTCAGGACATTTCTTACTAATTGCTGAATGAGAACCATTACACAAGATACAAGAAACATTTTCCTCATCTACTTCACATTTATCACCTGTATGATTTTGCCTGCATTTATAACACCGAGGATTTGAACGACACTGCATCTTGACATGTCCGAACCTACAGCAGTTATAGCATTGGATAGTGGGGTAAATGTACAAATCTACAGTTAATGATGTGTAAAACATAAATACTCTTTTTGGTAATATTTGTCCATCAAAAGTAATAACAATGGTTTCAGTATTAATAAAACTTGGTTGTCCTTCATTAATGGTCTTTTTCTTAATTCTTCTGGTTTTTAGAATTCTCCCACAACCTATAGGTACTGATATATTTTGGATTACTTCCTCTTCTGTCCAATCTTTAGGAATACCCCTCACAATTCCCATACGGGTTACATGGAAAGAAGGTATAAATGCCTTAAAATTATGTGTTTCTAAGTGACTATTATTTAAAAATGCATTTGCATTTTCAAAATTTGAGAAAGAAAGCGATAAACGGTTTCTTCCTATTCTTTGAGGCTACCATTCACTATATTATTTATCTTATTAGTGTGTAAAAAGCGACCAAATGCAATAGGATGTAATGTAGTGTTATCATTAGGATGTGTTTCATTTTTTTGTACATGAACGACATAAGGAGCTACATCCTCGGCATTGTACAAAGTTCTGCTTAAAGTACTGGGTGGAGAAGCAGGTTTAACAGACTCGGTATTATTTACAACTGGTATTGATACTAGAGTTTGATTCTCATCCTCAATACATTGACAATCACTATCTTTAATTTTAGATTCGAGACCTTTGGTGTGCCTCCTTCGTTTTTTATTGCAATGTTTGCAAATGCGACGTTCGCCACGTACTCGCTTACGTTTAGAACTTGCAACGCTAGAACCATCTGTGTCCATACTAGATTCACCCAATATATCAAAACTATTATTAAATGGGATAGTTATATTTGCAGACACCTGGGGGTTGTCCCCCCAGGGTCTATAGGTGGATCCATAATGTCTAATTAATATAGGTAATTTACTTACCAATATTTACAGCAACAAACACTATTACTACAAAATATACAATTATATATACAATCTAATACACAATATATAAATAAGACTAATCCTTATATAATTAAAAATAAAATTAATTTAAAGAAGATCAAAAAACACTCCCGCTTTTTTAAACGTTTCCCGCGCTTTTTTCAAGTAACGCCTTCTTCCCATAGATATATAATTATCTGTGCCTGTGCTTATTCCTAACTTTTTTAAATGGGTTAATTTAATAAATAAGACATTTTCATAGATTAGGAATATAAAAATTTGGCTTACTTAATGTTAGTGCCATAGATATAGTATAATGATGTTTTAACCATAGATATTAGAAGAATTTACCTCAAATATTGACTGACGTAGTACTGATTGTCATAAATAATTTTTCTCTTAATCTGTGTTCCTGACCGACTGACAGTGACAGAGAAGTCTTCGAATTTCTTATATCTATATTTTCTCATATTTTGTGAATGATACAATTGTAATAATTATTTTTAATTTATTTGTATAAAAAAATAGATTTGGGCATTGATTTGTGCCACTGTTTTATTTCCATTTCTTACTTTGGACGTCCCTATAATGTTTCTAACATTGAAATTACTTTCAAATAGACATCCTTCGTTTATAGCTCGTACAGTTTTTGTAAAGAATAATAATGTGGACGACGCCTGTAGATTGTTAAATAGAATTCTTGGTAAAGAAGGTATCTTAGAACAATTTAGGCTTACAAGATATTATGAAAAACCTTTTCAGGCAAGTAACCTAAAATATTTGGATATTGAGATTTCAAATATTTCTTTTTTTCACGTTGGATTGAAAAATAGAATGTTAAGATTGAAGGAAATAGTAAATAATTATACGACACTTGAAGTTCCTGTTAAATCGTAACATAATCTTTACGTAATAGGCATATTTTTTATATTAGTGCTTGTCATCACAGTTCATCATTTAAATTATAACATGTATATTATGTTTACATTTACAGACACGACGACGCATAAATCATGAGAAATGTAAAGCCATCTATAATGAAGATATGGAACGTAAAATAAAATTTGTGCTTAGGAAGAACCGACATGAGCCATTTCCTGGATGTCACTGAAAAACAAATTACCTCAACATATTTAGCATACTAGTTAATATAAATAAATGTAAATAGGGAATGTCGTTTTTTTATTTTAAGATTATAAACCAAGATTGTATAAAATAAGTTTAATCAATAATAGTAATTATGTAGAAGTTTTGAACTTGATTTTGAGCAAGATTTATTTTTAACTAGTTGCATTCCATGGCTTTGAGCATGTATATCATCTTATGTGCTAAGTTAAAATATAATCTAGCTGTCAATTTTCATTCAAATCTGTTGCATAGTTTTTGCATGAAAGAGCAACAAACATGTATCAAATCATCCATCATTAGAATTTTTTATATTTATAGTATAGGATATCTGTAAAATAGGATTTTTAAAATGGATCTAGTCAAAACTAAAAGATTTTTTATTAACAGAAGAACTAATAATATTTATACCCTGTAGTATATGCAGGTGTTTTACTGCCATATTGACATTTCCAATTTATCATCAACTACATAGGCATTATCTAGTTTGTCTACCCTGTAAGAGACCATAATACGACTACAGGTGAAGGTTGAAAAATAGGGGTTGGAACACTTAAAAAATGCTAAAAAATTAAAATTTGCAAAGTCATATGAGATCTATCATAATAAGTATGGAAGTCACACAATTTTCAAAAAGTTATTTAATCTGTTTGCTTCTTACATAAAAATACTATAGATATTTAGCAAAATATTTACAAAGGTTACAAATAGAGTATTGTCTCAGCTTAGATTACATTTTTGTAAATATATAAGAAAACTACAAGTAAGACTAGATGCATAGTTTGGCACTGAGAAGGCGGCTGCGGGCTCAGAGGCCTGCGGTCGCGCCGTCACGTGTAGTTGTAGCAGGCGTCGCGCCGCCGCACGTAAAAGTGATAGCGGTAACACCGGTGGCATGTTTTTATGCCACAGCGGTAACTCAAACCACCCTGGGGCTTGCCTTTACAGTACTTCAGCCCACAAGGGTACCAGTTGACACAAATCTGTAATGTAATTAATGTTGTATTATTTATTTATTCCGTTATCACATTCTTTAGAGGATATTTGATATCTTTAGAAATTAGCCAAACCTTTCATCTTTGGGCTTTTACATTATTATCTATTTTATTCCTTACACCCCAAATGCAAGGAACGATATTTAAGTGGCTTGGGGTTGCTCCTTAGAGCATTATATAAGAGACACTATGTCCAGTGTTAGGAGCTGATCTCAGGGGAATACTTATTAAATTGTTATTATCAAAGGCTGCAATTATTGTATGCCTGAAGCAGTGAATTAACTAGATCAGATAGTGCTATATGCATATAATGAATAGCTGATGTTGATGATTTAGAGCCTTCCTCATTTTAAGGTAAGTCAAGACTTATTCTTTCTCATTACCATACCATATTTTATTTTTTGTACCATATTTTAATTTAGTCAATCAAGTTATTTAAATAAGTAAATAGAGTATCTACCTCCAAGTGGCAGATGCACTCTTTGCCCATATCTGTCTCTGTGACGCAAGCAGCGACTGCCTGCTTACCGTCCGCGGCATCTGATGACAGTGCATGTGCCGGGAATGGCGTCACTGCTGACATGTAAGAGGACTGGTCCATTCCTGATAAATAACCATAATTTGCTTGAACAGTTTCAGATAATTACGATATAGTTTACTAAAAATAAAGTGAGTAAATGTAACTATATTTTTAGATATCCTTCTTATGTTACATTTTAAAATATTCAGATATTTCTGTTCTTTGTCTTTATTTATTTTTCTGCTATTATAATAACAAGGATCATTGCTTAATTTCTCTGGTTTTCATGCAACTTTGAAGTTTACTTTTCACTGTTCATTCCAAATGCCAATAGTTTTTAAGGAAATGAACACTATAGGAAAAACTGTAAGGACTGTCTAGTTTCTCATCCTAATTCCATCACAAAAATGCTGTTGCATCTATGTAAGATCAGAAGACTAAAGAGAGCAGATGTCTTATATATAATAAAAATAATGTTTGTCTTACAAAATGCTTTATGTCACTCAATAAATTTGATTTCAGCCCTTAAATTGATTGCAAATATATTAATAGGAAAACTATAAATTTAGAATTTGTTTAAAAATATTATAAAATGAGCACACCAGGTCTGGGTGCCCAGCGGGTGAGATCAGCAGCCCGCAAGTAGACGCGGTCGCGGGCGGCGGCGCAATGCGCGGCTGCGGCGGCTGATAGCAGCCGAGTGGCGCGGCCCGCCCACGCTGACGCCGTCGTCTGCCGCCAACCTTTGTCTTCCTCCGCTACACGCACTGTGCCTGGATTTTTCTATGGAAAATAATTATTCCTCTACATAATATTATTGATTCAACACAGTCTTAGGAAAAAAAATATGTTAGGTAAATTGGTTATGAAAAAGTGCTTAATTCTACTCCAATTTTTTTAACATATGACCAAAAAAACCTTAAAGTGGTCTTTACCTGTCTGAGTTTAGCCATAGCATCTGGGGCAATGAAATCGGCCTGTGCTGCATGTGATAAAAAGCATAGAGTCTGGTAGCCAGTCTGACCAAGCTCTTCTTCACCAGGAATCACAACCTTCATAGCTTCCACCTCCTAGTTTAATATATGCAAGTATTAGTCAAAAGAACAATTATTATTTCAAAATGAAGGATTTTTGATTGCCTTGAATAAGGTGCACATGTATTCTCAGATATCTCTTTATGTATAGCAAAATGTGCAAAGTCCATCTAGCTACCTAAATAACCTTATAGCATTAATACTACTTCATCAATATATCAGCTGTCCACTGCTGAACATGGGCCTTCCGCTTAGTTTTGCTTTTGATATTTTAAGAGGGATGCTGCTGCCCACCCCTAAACCATTAAGCTTTCTTAGTCACCTCTTACGAAATCCACAGGAAAAAGGTGGCCCATTCTATGTTGGGACTACATGACTATGCTACTTAGAAGTCATATAATATAGGTACATTAATTCATTAGTGCTTTAGAAAGGGAACAGATTTATTTTTTACTTGAATAAACAAACAAACTGATAGCTCCACTAATTGAAAATGGTAATCATTGCCTATAGACATCAATAATATGTACATCATAGAACACCACTTGAAGCTCATTGTACCACTCATATATTTAAATAGTCTTCATTTCTGAAGGCTTAGCTTTTATGCTTTAATTTTGCTGTTAATAATTAAATAAATGCTGCTAATTAATAATTTACTGATACAATAAATTTTTATGGTTACTAACTTTAGAAAATGAAACTAATTTGACATCATATAGTCACTACACATGATGAAGTGATTTCTAATTAAGTGCAAACTATTTTTTAAATAATGACTATGACTTAAATATAATTTTTCATAAATCTTTACATACATTAGTGAAGTCTACGAGTTGGGATACATAAACGCCGTCAAGCCTCTGAAACTCCAGAGTTACCGTGTCTTCGGATACGTTCGCCGTTATGTTCTCCTGCATAACGTCACCACCCTGCATTCATAAACATATCCCATCAATTTTTGATCTTTTAAAACGACAAGTAAAAGTTAATAACAATATTAAACAAATGGTCCATACCTGATTTTTCACATTTATTAAAAGTTGTAGATTTGTTGGCTGTGCCAGTACATATAGTAATACGACTGTTTTAAACAATTCCATTGCAGTAAATTCGTTTATATTTCATATCAATTCTTTGTATCAATTAAAATAATCTTTTATACATTCAATATTTAAATATTTATAGGTTTTTCAGTTCATCACATCAAATTAAATTTATTTTATTGACACTTGAACTTGACAGTCAATGACTAAATGACATTGTATAGAGTATTTATTGAACAATTTTACCGAAGCGATATATAAAGGTTCAAGAATGCAATAATAATAATGTATTATATTGTAGAAATATATATTGCATGTTAGTATATTAAAATTAAATAACGATAATAAATACTAAAGTGATTAAATCGGTGACAAAAACTTTTTAGATTACAGGATTTATAAATGCTTCCAATCGTTCCATTTTACGTAAATTTTCATAATTAAAATCGCATAAGATTATCTATTTATTATTTATACATATTAAAATAAAATATTATAGTTAATACATTATATTGATTTTATTATTATTATTTTTGATTAAAACTTAAAACTTTAAAGTGGATTTTACTACAAAAAATATATATATATATGACTTAGCAATATATTTCATCAAAATTCTTTATATCCAACTTTTTTATATTAGCTTTTATTGTATAAATAGTGTTCACACAGGATTTGCAAATCAATATTTTTCAAAAGTACCTACCTTTTTTGAGGTCATTCCATTGTAGCAATATTTATTTTTGAGGTCATTACATTAGAATACGATTTCGCCCGATGTGCAACCGAACGAAACACGAACAAGAACGTCATCCGAAACGTAACTAAAGAAAGAAGGGCGATGTTGTACTAGCGAAGAAAGACAGCTGTCGTTTCGTTTTCAGCTGATTTTTGTGTACGATTATCACTATCATCCATTGACTGTCCACTGAGGCGTTTCGTAACAGCTTAAGGCTCCCGAGTATCTCCATCGCGCGTGATAGAGAACGAGGAGCATTAAAGGACGATATCGGGGAAGCATCGGGTCATAGCAACGAACAAAGGGAGATGGTCCATTGAGTACGGGTGGTGCGTAGCGGGCGGCCGTGACGTCACAAGGCCGCGACGTCGAGGCCGATGCGGCGGGTGCGCTTGTGATCTCGGCGCTCCGGGCAGCGCGGAGAGCGCGAGCAGCGCGGCGAGAAGTCGGAGGCAGCCTGGCCTCCAGTGACTCGGGCGACGAGGGCGCCGGGCACCGGCCGCCGCGCAAGCGGACCCGCAGGCTGTCGCCGCCGGCCCGGCCCGCGGCCATGCACCAGCCCTGCGCCAACGGCGCGCCGCCCCCGGTGCACCTCAACGGCGACGCCATCGCGCGTAACGGCGACCTGCCGCCGCCCGGTCCGCGCATGGGGCAGACCGACCAAGAGATCGTGCGCCTCATCGGCCAGCACCTCGTGTCCATTGGACTTGAGTGAGTACCCACTTTATAGTTTTACCTTGTTACCTGTTCCTATCAATATAAATGATCTAATTGTTTTCTGAATCAGTGTAGATTAGTCTAGATCAGTCTAGATCTATGCAGAATGACACACTAATAAGGATAAGTGCAAAAATACCCAGTCAAATGAGCAAATCGGAGTTTGTCCTGACAGGTAATCTGTCAGTGTAAACAATAATAGTGTAACAGTGCAAGCGAAGTGGCTATTCTGTTTTCATTTAAAAAAAAACAACATTACTATGTACTCATTACCATTACTACCTTATACTTGCAACTTCATTCAAATAATAAGGATATGATCACTGATCGGAATAAAAAGTAGTCAATATGCTTCTCCATCCCATATAGTACAACAAGTCTATTCCAAATTTCATAGTGATTGTTTTAACTGTTAAAAAGCTATAAGGTAACAAACAAACAAACTCACACATAACATTTATAATATTAGCAAGGATTGCATATACTGGAATAACAAAACTTATTCCCCCAGGTTACGGCATTACTACTCTACTTGGGGCTACTCATTTAGTAACTTACATTTCTTTTTATATGCACATTCAAATTTCCTGTGTTACATATTTCTGAATGATGCCTACCTACAAAATATTTATAATCACAAAGATTTTTATTATTTTGCTAATTATGTTCTGACTGTCTGTGATAGATTTTTTAAAAAAGGAATACTATTTAAGTTCACAATGTTGTTAAATATAATTTAACACAGATTTTTTATTTAAAATTAATAATAATATTAGTTATATCTATGAATCGTGTTGATTCCTAAAATGTACACTGTATGTCCAGGACTTAAAACATACTGTCCTCTCACCACCCTGTGGTATTCCCTTTTATCAAATTTCCTTTGTAAAGTGTGTCTTCATTCTTTCTGGGAATTTGTGTGTGGGAACAGCTATTGTGCAATATGTATTGGTATGTTGTAGTATGGTTTGGAAGGGGTTTGCACCCTTAACATGCTAATAATAATTTGTTTACAATATCTGTTATGATTTAATTGACTGTAAACAATGACTGGGAAAATAAAGATACTAAAATAAATATTCTGAACTGTGTAGAAATATTAGTTGTCTATGGATTTATCTACTTGAGTTTGTATAAAAAATTGTCTGTGTGTTATCTAGGGTTTGTATATTTGTGTACCAAGGGTCATCAGCTGTTTACCATAGCAGTAACAACTGTCAAAATATGTTTACAAGCATTCCCTTTTATAATATTAGTAAAAATAAACTTATATTTCATGAATAACATTAAAAAATCACTAAGGAGGGTTGTTTTAGTAGATAACTCCTTGATCAGGGGGGAAAGGGATTGTTAGTAATGGAGACTGAGAATCCCATTGCTAGCAATATACCCAACTAGGTCGACCTCCTCGCGGTTCTCCCTGGAAACTATCATGGCTAATTTCTGATGAATTCATCATGATGGGCTAACTGGCCTGTTTTCATTCTCATCTATCACCCTTCACTGGTGCTCCGCCAGCATATCAAGTTAGCGCAGGCGGGGTTACCATACCATTTACATCCATCAAAAAAAAACCCTTTAATCAATGTAATTTGACCATGATTTTAGGATTATGAATAGATAGATAGATAGATAATTTAATTGTATTACTTACAGCACACAACAACAGATATTATTGCACAGTGAAAAAAAAAGAAAATACATACACAAAAAATAAAAACAAAATGCACAAAATAAGTAACAATTTTTCCTTTCATGTGTGTGCCACAGTAACACAGAATGGTCACAACTCAGCTTATTGCTTTGCTCTCAAAAGAGCAAAACACTGATATTCTATATATATATATATATTATCGATTAAGACCTTTGCATAGAAATACTGAGAACTTAACAATTTAATTTTGAACAGTGAATATTTATTCTGTAAGTTAATTAGCTTTTTACTCACTACTTCATTACATATGGATAACAGAACTTGGAAAACTAATAAAATGGATCTCTTCTAGATGGTGTATCAAGATAAAATATATGCCACATTTTAAGCTAGACATTCAGGAACACAATTGTGAAAACTGCATCCAATTTGATATAGCAGTTTCCGCATGACACCATAATAAGATACCCCATATCAATTTATCTTAATTATACAACTAGTGTAGTTACAATTTTATAATTTTAGTAAGACTATTATTATTATAACTATTTAATATTTTGTCTTTATCTTTTTTAAATATAAAAATCATGTGTCATAATTTTATCTTCCTATTTTTTCTTTTCTCATAACTTAAAACTCTAAATGGAAGCTACTGGGGGGAAAAGGATTATTAGTGATGGGGTCAAATAGCCCTATTACTAGCAATATACCCTGTCAGGTCGACCCCCACGTGGTTCCCCCTGGAAACCATCGTGACTAATTCTAGTTTAATTCGTCAGGATGGGCTAACTGATCTACTTTCATCTTCATCTGTCATCCCTCACTGCCCTGCCCCACCAGTGTATACCAATAGCGCAGACGGAGTCACCATACCATTATCACTCATTAAAAAAAAAAACGAAGCTACTCAAATGGATTTTAATTAATCTTTGTAAACATTATAAACTAAATTTTTGCCTGATAAACTTTTCATATGGGTGGATTTTAGTAGTGGAAAAATCAATTAAATAGGCCACTTTTATCAAATAACAATTTAATAGTTAGACCTTTAGTAATATAACTGTGAAAACTACATCTAATTTGATGTAGTAGTTTTAATGTGATTCCAGAACAAACATACAAATACAAATGTCTTTATTGTGGATCATAGGTCAAATTAAGGTATTACATCAGTTAAATAGTATCTCTATGTCCTGCTATATAATATATGGAACAATTATAAATAAAGTACATCCATTATTTAACAGTATATAAAACAACATTTAAAATTATATAGTGAAACAATAGTACATTACTGCAGCAGCCAGCAACTGAGGCATTGATGGACGAACGTGCAAATGTGGGCCGAAGCGTAGCCGAGGCACACATATGTGAGTACATGCCTCACCTTAAGAGACGGGCTAGTATTTATTCTAACAAGGAAAAAATTATGCTGTAGACAGTGGTAGGGGTTAACATAGCAAAACAATGCTTGCTGGGACATATAGTTTTTTTTAATGGATGATAATGGAATGGTATGGGCCTGTGCTATCGATATATATATATATATATATATATATATATATATAACACTGGCTACACTATATATATATATATATATATAATATAATATAATATAATATATTTATATATATATATATTTTGCTTACAAAAAAGTAATTTCAAAAAGACAAAAATAATGTGGGACTGATATGGGAATATACTCTGTTAATTGCTCTTTATCAAAATCTGTTAAAAATTAAAGTTGTTATTTAATTGTTTTGAATAATATATTTGGCATATAATGGTCGTATGGCATTAAGCTCGCCATTTGTACAAAGTTTTATTGTGCAATAAAGAATAAATAAATAAATAAATTATATTACATACTTTGTATGCATTAACATATTCAATGTGAGACAATGAATTCTACTTAAATATTCTATTTAAATATTATGCTTCAATGTATTAAATTTTTTCAGCTTAGATATTCTGTTATGTCATATCCATACAGAAAATAAATTTAAATACATTTTGGCAGTCATAATACCAAGCTTTTGTGTCTGTGAATATAACTTTATCCACAAACATCCATCTGCCCTGAAAAATTTATATGGAGAACTTAAAAAAAAATATCTCTCATGTATGAGGCATTTTTATATGGATGCTAATAGAATGGTGTCTTTGCCTGCACTGGGGATATAAAAATGGTGGGTTACCAGTAGAACTACCCTTAAGGAGGAGAGGGATGCAGTTGAGATATAAGAAAGGCACAAAGGTTTATGTGAGGTGACACAGGACACATGCATTGATAAAGTATCACTTCAAATTCGTATGTGAATGATGCTAGTTGAGGATGAAATAAATTAATTAAATAAATAAATTATAAATAATAAATAAATAAATTAATTATGATGAGGTAAATTAATTGATGGGCCATCAATTAATTTACCACAACAGTGTCCAGATTTCCCTATTTACTTTTTTCCCATTCTTTTTTTACCAACTTCCTTTACTCATTCTGTTTTTTTTCCTTTCCTGAATAACACTAACAATTGCCTTCATAAGGGAAGTCAACGTCAGCCTGGCGATTGGTCCTGAAATCAAAAGCCAAATTATTAAAATCATTTGCTGACTCCAAAATTAGGATAAGGGCAGTAAGATGATGATGATGATGAGTTTCCAGTAGAAGCTTTGTGAAGGTAGACATGACAGGATATATTGGCCTCTAGTTCTCTTCCTGACAGTCTCTCTCCCATACATGAAGCTAGCATAGTCGCCTAGTTATTTTAGTTAGGAGTCTATTTTTTTTTTAGTCGAAGTAACTACACAATACCCATGAAAAACAAGACAGTTTGATCTATGATCAAAATAAGTGTTTAATTTAATTTTTTTGAAGTATCTAATGTGAAGCAATGATATTATTTTCAATTAAACTTATAATTATACCTTTGTTGGAAATGTATATGTAAACAGATTATTATTTGACCAACTGATAATTGATGGGGAATTAATGTTTTCAAATGGTATTGATAATGTTGCAAGAAATCAGTAGGTTTAACAAGTAAATGCAGTTGGCTCATAGGTACCTTTTTATTGCTTTTCAAACAAAATAAAGTTATTTGTATTTGTTGTCTATTAGATTTTATATTCAGCAGTGGATAATTCACGGCTAAAATGATGATTAAGGTTTTTTTATGAAACTTAGAATGGTAAACAAGTTGACGGGTGGGCCGTCAACTCAACTTGTTTGATGGAAAGTGGTAACCGTCGCCTATATACATGGACAGTACCATGGACATAACAGAGTATACTGTTTTGTGAATGATACCATTCATGTGTTGCCATTTCTGAGGACTTAGGTGTTATTCCTCTGTACCCTGCATTCCAGAACAAATTTGGACATAACAGAGTATACTGTTTTGTGAATGATACCATTCATCCATTTCTGAGGACTTACCTCTTCAAATTTACCGAAACACAGCCAGGCAAACACAACTGTTTCACGGTTGAAACATGAATGGGACAGAGGTACCAAGCAAACAACTTTTGTACAAAGTCTGGTACAAATATCTTAAGTTTAAATGGATTCTTCATGTTAACAGAGTATAGGTACATAATATATTGTACACTATTTAATCTTGATTGGCTTGAGAGGTTGACTCTTACCATTATTGTGATATGACTGATAATATTAACATTGTAAGATAGTAGGTTGTTACATCTGTAACGTATATATCCTAGCTGTTCGCGTTATTTTTTTAAATGAATTAAAATGGTATGCTACAGTCATTGTTATCAGTTTTTTTTTGGCGGGGTATCGGCGTAGGAAGGTTTACCAGAGGGAGGCTTTGTACAAAAGTCGATTGCTTGGGCACCTCTGTCCCATTCGTGTTTCAACCGTGAAGCAGTTGTGTTTGCATGGCTGTGTTTCGGTTTGAAGGGTGGGTTATGGCGTGAATTTACAGGGTACAGAGGAATAACATCCGAGTCCTCAGGAATGGCAACGTATGGGGGATATCATGGGTGAAACAGTATACTCTGTTATGTCCATGGTACTGCTCATGTCTAAAGGCGACGGTTACCACTTTCCATCAGGTGGGCCGTCAGCTTGTTTGCCATTCTAAGTTGTATAAAAAAAAGGTAGGTGAGAAAGAAGTCAGATCAGTTAGCCTATTGTGATGAATTCACCGGGAATTAAATATGGCGTCCACTTTGATCATTCCAGTTTACGTGTATTGAGTAAGTCCTCATTACTAATAGCACTGATACGGGTTACCGAGGCTCGTGCTGAAAATCAGCGCTGTAGTGCCCCTGACACTACAGCAAAATGCTGAGCACGCATCTCATTTTGCAGGTATTGCGACGCACACACACACTCATTTTGGATGAAACTGTTATAATATGCATTTTTTTTTTAATTTTCTTTATTTTTATTTTGTAGTTTTCTGTTTCTTTATTATAATTCTTAATATTTTTTTACTCCGTATGTGGGTGTAGTCGTATATTTTTGTAAAATAAAGTTTCGTTCTTTTTTTTTTTAATAATTTTAAATTTGTTGATTCTACAAAACTCCATTCATCGGTTGCTTTTACTTGTGGCTTGAAGAAGCTGCTTTTTGTGGAGCAAAAAGTAGAGTCATTTGTGAACTTAGGTTAAGAATGTAACTTTGGTCTACCTAAGTTGACGAATGACAATTGCATTGCAAATGACAATGCGTTTAATTAGGTACCTCGCGGTCACGTAGATGGCGTCAGTGTCACGAGTGCGTCCCAACTCATTACGAAATATCTGCGTAATCGCTACTTAAGTGTTACAAAATTGCTATTTAATCACGTCACAATAAATGCGATGTATGTATCCGTCCCGTCACGGTACCTAAATTCGCCTGCTCAATTGGGTCGATGCCGTGTGGTCCCGGCATAGAATGAGCCACACCTTCCATTCGTTGTGTTATAAGAAGGGATTAAGGGAACTTAATGGTCGAGAGATGGGCAGCAGCGTCATTCCTAAAACTTCAGCAAAAGCTAAACTGCGGTTGCTAATCCGCCCGTCAAGTGTGGTAATTATTGGCAAAAGGAATGTTCCCGTTCTTTATGGTAGTCTATAGAGAAGGTTTACTTTTAGCAGTGGACAGATAACGGCTGATACGATGATCGTGATTGGATCAGATATTCCACACTGGTACTCCACCAGTATATACCAATAGCGCTTCGAAGTTGACCATTCGATTTTTAAACGATTTTCGAATGAAGACTTCATTTGAAAATCGTTCAATTCGTATATTTTTTTTTTTGTATGCTAATAATTTTTATTTCAGCCAGTATAACACGTAGTTAAGTCGCCAGTATTTGTCTGGCGAGACTCAATAGAATATTTATACTTACTCTTTGGATAATTAACCGCGAACGATAGGGTAAATGACCTGACTAACTGATGCAGTGAGTCTAATATCTGTCACCAGTGTTTTTTTTTTTAGCAAGACAAAGAATTTGAAATTTGCATGTTTTCTAATTAAAATAGATAGGAATTAATGCGAGAATTTAGTTAAAATATGATAATTTACATGGATCATTATGGTCGTGAGCTGACTAATGTGAACTGATGACTGAGGAATTTTGTCACTGTGAATATAGAATCATGTCTACATTTATAAGTTTACGCTGACGGGGCGCCAGTCAGCGATGATTGTCAGAATGAAGACAAGTCATTTAATGGGTCACCATCGTCACAAATTCGTAAGAAATCAACCACAATGGTTCCCAGTAGTTATCGCGTGGAAGTCGACGTGATAAAGTATTTAACAACAATTCTCTCCCTCAGGATCCCATCGTATCAGCCGTTACCTGTCCATTGTTGAATTTAGGCTTCCCCAATAAAGGGAGTTTATCCAGCAGTTGTCACGATTGGCAGGTCGGTTGGCAACCGCAGTCAGGTTTTGTTGATATTTTAAGAGGGATACTGCTGTTCATCCCAAATAGACAAAAGAAATTTTTAAACATTATTGTTTTGCCTTCCATTGCTCTTATGAAGCCCATTCATATCAGTTTTTTTAAATATCTCCCAAGTACAGAGGTCGTCTAATTATAATTTTATTATATTAACAAGACACAGGGGATAAAAGAACGCAAACAATAAATACACTATTATGAATACGCGAGTGTCTTGGACGTTTGTAAATATGAAAAACAAAAGCCGAGCACAATGCTGCGGTCATTCCACTATGTAGGAACATTTGTATGCCAACTTTCAGCTAATAAGTTTCCATTCGTTGATTAAATCGTTATTTTGATGGTAAAAATAACTTATATTTAGTACAAAAACAATCTGAAGTTGAATGCTCGAAGTTTTTTTTTATAACACACGGGGCAAACGAGCATGCGGCTTACCTGATGGTAAGTGACTACCGCCGCCCACGATGACCCGCAATAGCAGAGGCATTGCAGGTGTCCTCCAAAAGAACCATTAATTTAATTTTTTTCTATTTATTTACACACAATTTTATTCTTTTACATGTAATAATATACGTATTTTACTAGACTATTAGTCGAGCCGCCAAAAAGTAAATAATTAAATTGTGTTCCACAAAAAGCAGACTTCATTTGTGACAAAACCAGTTATTTTGATTTAAAAACTAAACTACTACAAAATTCATATTTTTTTTTTTTTATGGGACCAATCCAAATCGATTGACTACTGTCGGAGTTGAGGAAACATCCATTAAAAAAAACACAACTTAATTGTGAATCTCCTTCCTTTTTTAAGGTTTACTACTATCGGAGTTATGAGGCAATATCCATTTAAAAAGCCGCTCAAGTGGGAGTCAGACTCGCGCAACGAGGGTTCCCTACAAAATCATTAAGTTTTTTTTTTTGTGAAATGACCGCAAATTTACCGTATGCGGATATTTTCCTTTATTTCTGCTACATGACATTGCTTCTTCCCAAATTTCATAACTCTAGGTAAACGGGAAGTTCTCTATAGGTTTCGATTCTCTTTGCGAATGTCAAAATATGCGATATAAATGGAACATAAACGGCCGTACCTTTTGATTGCGTCAATTTAGAAGCTTGATTTTTCATTGCTTTAAGAGATTGCAGATCTGAGTATATCTTTTATATTAATTTGATACTTTGACGCGTTCCTAAGAAAAAGGGTTTTGATAGATAGACGCACGGACAACGAAGTGATTCTATAATGGTTCTATTTTTTTCTTTGGGTGTACGGAATCCTAAAACTATACAATCGAATTGTGAACCTCCTATTTTTTGAAGTAAACTGGAAACAAACTCACTCAAGTTTCATATTACTATAGATGACTTGATACATTATTTGTTTCATATGATAATATATCTATTTCGCGATTGATGATTAACGCTTCAAACATAAAGTTGTGTATTTGGCACCTTTCTTTACGTCGCCACGTGACGCGAATTCACATGCTAAAACGTCTCATCTTACAAAATGAATATTTATCTATTTGGTTTAAAATAAAGTCTTGATAATTAGTTTTATATTTAATCTACTTTTATTTTATTATTAATTATTTGGAATGTGGACACATAGAAACAGTCCCTAAATGAAATTAGTAACAAATAGAAACTTACAATCAATTGTTTTTTTTTATGCAGTTTAAAATGGCAAACAAGCTGACGGTCCACCTGATGGAAAGTATTTTTTTTTTATACAAATTAGAATGGCAAACAAGCTGACGGTCCACCTGATGGAAAGTGGTAACCATCGCCTATAGACGTCCATGGACATAGACATGACCAGTACCATCAGGACAATATCAGAAACACAGCCATGAAAACACAGCTGCTTCACGGTTGAAAAGTGGTAACCGTCGTCGACATGTCGATAGACATGACCAGTACCATGGACAACAGAGTATACTGGGTTGTGCACCAGTAAGTGATGATAGGTGAGAATGAAAACAAGTCAGTTAGCTCATCGTGATGAATACATCTGGAATTTAAGCACAATGGTTTCCAGAGGGGACCATGTGGAGGTTGACCTGACAGGGTATACTTTTTTAATAGATTTATCAGAGGAAGACGTACAAAAGTAGTTTGCTTGGTCACCTCTGTCCCATTCGTGTTTCAATGCAAGCATTTATGTTTGCATGGCTGTGTTTCGGTATGAAGGTACACAGAATGACATCCGATTGTTACGTTGTTTGTCACAGACGCAGCGCGGCGCTGCTCATGGAGGAGTCGGGGCTGCACCTGGAGCACCCGGCAGCGGCCACGTTCCGTCAGCACGTGCTCGCCGGCGACTGGGTGAAAGCCGACCATGACCTGCGCGCGCTGCACGACCTGCTGCGAGACTCGCCCAACGTCGACCCCCACAACCTCGCTGTTAGTAAACTTTTTAAATAATTTGTAAAAGCAAATAAGCTTATGGACCGTCTGGTGGAAAAGTGGTAGCTGTCATTACATATATTAATACCTTTCTGCCAAACATGCCTGTTTACGCGTTTCCACCTTGACGACAATCGTGCTCGCGGGTCTCGAAGTCGAGCGCGAGCGCTGCGCCTGCTGGCCCGGCCGGTGATTGTTCCTCACTCCAGCAATGCACATATTCTAAGACGCGCGCTGTCATATTAAATTTGAAGAAATTATTAGGTCCTTGTCATTGGTCCTTCGAGCCGGATGGCGGAAGATACTGCAATGAGAATAACAAATATAAATAACAATAATTCTGTGATACCAATGTTGTCATCCTTAAGAACTAGCGAATTACGTCTCCATTCAGAGCGTCATTACCTAGTCTTGTTTGCTTAGTATAAAATCTCGTGTCACAATATTTAAAATACAGTGTTTGTTCACATGAATGTGCGAAATTTGAAATTTGTGAATTGCTATGTTTACCTCGACTTCAGAAATAGGATAATTTTTATACTGATAGAAAAAATGGGCTCAATAGAAGGCGGTAGGAAGCAAAACAACGTAAGCTGAGTGAACTATTGTTATATAAAGTATTTAGTATAGTTGGAGAGTTGTCGTCAAAATGAACATGCCCGTGGTTGAAATGCTGACCGCGCATCTGGTTGTCAGGAGATGAAATTCGTGGTGCTGGAGCAGAAGTACCTGGAGCACCTGGAGGCGGGGCGCGTGCTGGACGCGCTACACGTGCTACGCAACGAGCTGACGCCGCTGCAGCACGACACGCCGCGCGTGCACCGCCTGTCCGCGCTCATGATGTGCGCCGACGCCGCCGAGTTACATGCGCGCGCCGCCTGGCCCGGCGCCGGCCCGCGCTCGCGTGCAGCCGTGCTCGCGCGCGTGCAGGTAGTGTCATAGCTATAGGGCTTTTATAGCGTTCCAAACTAGTCTGGTATTCTTGGAATTTAAAACTTGAGTAAAGCTGACATAAATAATAACAAAATGGAACATTTTCTAACCCATAAACTCACAAAGTAATATTTTCAGAATGTAATTTGATAATGTTCTTTCTACAATTTTTGATTCTTTGAATGAATTCTATCACTTTTTTTCCCTCAATTAATATTCAGTCAGGTTCATATGAAAAGTGATTCTACCGGTTGCGAATTCAGTCGTGTTACCTATAAATTAAATAGGCAGTACTGCCTTTAGAGAGCGGGCAGGGGGGCGGTCCTGGGACGCTCCGCGGCGTCGAAATTATTTATTGATTTAAGAAAGGCCTTATAGGATTAATAAAGGCATTTAGTCGCATTAAATTCGACTTTCGTGTAAACAGCGCGTATCCCTGATGACTTCTTTTTTTCCCGTTGTTGATGGGCGCCATCAGAAATTTGCCCAGAGGCGCCAGGTACTCTTATACCGGTCCCGCAGCAGGTTCATATTTTCATGCAATAAAATTAAGATTAAATTGATCAGAGCTTCTAGACAAGTGGCTAGCGAATTCGTCGTTGGAATCGATATCGCTAGCGAGTCCGTGAGTTGGAATGAGTCATCCGGCGTTGCTATCTCATTCTGTTTCACGGACTCACTAGCGATGTCGATTTTTTTTTTTTTACAACACGGGGCAAACGAGCATGCGGCTCACCTGATGGTAAGTGACTACCGCCGCCCATGGTCACCCACAACACCTACGGCATTGCAGGTGTGCTGCCGGCCTTTTAAAAAGGAATATGCTCTTTTCTTGAAGGTTATGTTGTCGTATCGGTTCGGAAATACTGCTGCTGGAAGTTGATTCCAAAGAGTGGTTGTGCGTGGGAGAAAGTGCCTTGAAAAACGCACGGTGGAGGACCGCCACTCGTCCAGATGGTTGGGATGAAATTTTAGTTTATGGCGGGTTTGCACGATGGTGAAAATCTGCAGAAGGTATCAATCCGAACAATTCTTCAGAGCACTCCCCGTGATAAATTCGGTAGAAGATGCACAGAGATGCAACATCTCTACGCAGTTTCAGTGGGTCGAGCCGGACAGTAAGACGCCGATCGTCAACAATTCGAGCTGCCCGACTTTGAATGCGGTCTAACGGAAGGAGTTGGTACTGTGGCGCTCCTGCCCACAGGTGAGAACAGTATTCCATGTGTGGCCTCACTTGAGCTTTATATAGTTTCAGGCGGTTTTCTGGCGTGAAATACCGTCTCACCTTATTGAGTACCCCCAACTTTTTGGAATTGGAATGGATTTCATTGACGAATTCGCTTGCTACTTGTCTAGAGGGCCAGATGTTAAATAGACTTTATGGTGATATCTGTTCGACTTTATTTGATCTGAATCTAACTCGATTGCATTAAAAGTCAGCTTAGAGGTGTCCGCGTTACATGTCCGCGATGAGTAGTGAGTGATGAGTAGTGCGACGGCGTGGGGGCCGCTGAGTGAAGACGTGCGCGCGGTGTGCAGGCGGTGCTGCCGCCGGCGCTGATGATGGCGCCGGGGCGGCTGCGCGCGCTGCTGGCGCAGGCGGCGGCGCAGCAGGCGGCGCGCTGCCGCTTCCACGCCGCGCCGCGCCCCGCGCCGCCGCCGCCCGCCGCGCTCGGCGCCGCGCCGCCGCCCGCCGACCACCACATCCCCTTCACGCTGCTCGCCGATCATCAGTGCTCCGCCGACAACTTCCCCATACACTCGCTACAGGTGAGTGTGTCCGCTATTACTTTACATGTCAAATGCTAATATATATGTACTAGCTAAATCCCGCGACACTGCCCGCGTAAATCAGTGTTTAAAGTATCCTGGGTGCTAAGTTTAGATAAAACATATCTGTATAATAAAATTCATTCAAATCAATTCAGTGGTTTTTGCGTGAAAGGGTAATATCCACCCATCCGGTGAGAAAGGGATTGTTAGTGATGGAGACTGAGAATCCCATTGCTAGCAATATACCCAAACAGGTCGACCGCCTCGCGGTTCTCCCTGGAAACTATCATGGTTAATTTCTGGTGAATTCATCATGATGGTCTAACTAGCCTTTTTTCATTCCCATCTATCACCATTCACTGGTGCTCCGCCAGCGTATCCCGTTAGCGCAGGCGGGGTTACCATACTATTTTCACCCTTCAAAAAAAAAATATTTAGTTTTTAAATTAAAATTACTGATTTTATCATAATTGAAATTGATTTTTTGTGGGACACAGTCTTTAATTGTTTTAAAGGAATAATAAGTGACTTCTGTCAGTAAAACTGTCAGTAAAAACCGCCTGTAAAATGGATTGCTCAGAGGAATTGTTCAATATGATGTCCACAGCCACTTTCTACCATCGTACGGCTCGCCATCGATAGGGAGTTCATCCTCATGTCCTACAGCCTCAATGGTCGCGTACTGCGCGGTTTCAGAGATGTTTCCTCCCACGAATTGGGAATGAGGTTGTGGAATCCCTGCTGATGTTTTTCCAAGAGACTACAGCATGGGGTTCTTCAAAAGGGGGGTAAAGAGGTTTCTTCAGGGTCGGCAATACACGCGTAATACCTCTGGTATTGCAGGTGTTCATAGGCTACGGTAACCACTTACCATCAGGTGGGCCGTATGCTTGTTTGCCACCTCAGTGGTATAAAAAAAAAACTAGACAATTTATCCCAAAAAAATAATGGTAAAGAAACGAGAAACATTTAAATTTGTCGCCATTATATAATGTATTTGTGTTAATCTTCTTTGCAATATGTTAAATAAATATTTTGTATTGTAGGTGTTAAATGAACACTGCGACGAGGTGTGGTACTGCAAATGGTCACCAGATGGCACTAAGCTCGCGTCCGGCTCCAAGGACAATACCGTCATGATATGGGACTTCGATCCCGCCGCTAAAAGACTCTCCTTCAGGTAGGTTTTTCAGTTATTTAAATAAACCAGCTACTTATTTCTATTGGAGGGTAAATTAAATTTATCAGTAAAATAATAATAATAATTCAAATCCATTTAATGCTCTCTCATTTAACTATTTTGTTAGTAGTAGACTGAAAATTAAGTAAGTAAAAAAAGGTTATAACTTAATGTACCTGACAATATATAAGTAATATATATCTATCCATTTATTTTTATAGACTTAAAGACAACAATATATTTATTTATGTATATATTATGTATATTGTGTTGTGTGTAAGTATATGCATAGATGTAGGTGTGTATTTATGTATATGTATATGTGTTTTTGTACTATAAAATATAATCTAATTAATTTAATTTTGGCTGTTTAAAAATTGTACACTGCTGTATCCGCTGACATTGATGCTCCTTTCCACTTTGGGTTTGCTGTAAGAAAACTATCAGAGTTAAGCTCGCCTTTGTACTTTTGATTACCTCTGTCATATTCTTATAACTGGTGTGTACAATAAAGAATTAAATAAATAAATAAATAATAAATTTATCTATGTGAACATCAAACTGAAAATGGTAAAACAGGAAATCGAGACATTCAGCAAAAATTATCAATCCAGATTGAATAGGCATAGGAATGAATTGGCTGCTTAATTACTAGTATTGTGAAGCATTCGTTTCTCTCGATTAAAAAGACACAGCATCCAAGGACTGGTAGAAAGGTTTACACACAGAGACTGAGAGCGGAGGGTCTACCATGAAATGTTTTCCGAAATTTCGGACTCAAACGAAATACAAATTTGATGTTAAAATTACATAACACATGCCGTTTGGAAATATTTAAAATGTTAAAATATTGTTCCTTTGGACTTTTATGATAGGATGTATGACGAACGAAATATTAAACTCCATTTATTGGTCCGATTTTGGTATAAACAAAAACAAGACATTGAATCCGAATTAGTTTCAAGCCATTTTTTATGTTCTTTTTTACAATTCTATTTTCAAATTATTTACAGAGCAATTTAGAAATTTGTATTTAATATCTAAATTGCTCTGTAATGGTATTAGGATTATATATTTCATCATCATCATATATATATATATATATATATATATATATATATATATATATATATATATATATATATATATATATATATATATATATATCCCTTGACCATATACTATCTTAGTCGCTTCTTACGACATCAGTGGGAAATGAAGGGATGGCCCATTCTATACCGGGACCATTCGATATTATATATTTATATCATTTTAATTAGATGGTGATTACATAATTATTGCAGAAAATCACTGGAGGGTCATACGTACGGCGTGTCGTACCTGGCGTGGAGTCCCGACGGCCGCTACCTCATCGCCGCCGGTCCGGAGAACTGTCCCGACCTTTGGATATGGAACATGGAGGTACTACCATGCTGATAAACCTTTTATTACCTTCCGTACCATTGGTGTATGATAGACATTATAGTCTTTTTCTTTAGAATGATTAAAGATTCATTTTTTACACTTGCATAAATGCATTGAAAAATGTGTATTATTTGTGACATTATTATTATCATTGATGACATTGTGACTGTTGTTGACATTGTGATCATTGGTGACAATGTGATCATTAGTGACAATGTGATCATTAGTGACATTGTGACCATTGGTGATATTTTGTTCATTGGTGACAATGTGATCATTAGTGACATTGTGACTGTGGGTGATAATATTCCATTAATGACAATGTAACCATAGGTGATAATGTGACCTTAGGTGACAGTGGGACCATTGGTGATAATGTGACCGTTGTTATGTTTGCAGACAGAGCAGTTGCACCAAAAAATGACTCAGTCACAAGAGGACTCGCTGACGGCGGTGGCGTGGCACGCTGGCAGCGATAAGTTCGTGTGCGGCGGCGGCAGCGGACAATTCTACCATTGCGGCCTCGATGTACGTATCACTTCTCACCTTGTTTAACTTGTGATTTTATAGTGCATTGCATTCAATTTTTTTTTCGTAAAGTATTTTTGTGGTATTTTCTTTTATACAACTTAGAATGGCAAACAAGCTGACGCTCTCCTGATGGAAAGTGGTAACCGTCGCCTATAGACATAAGCAGTACCATGGACATAACAGAGTATACTGTTTTGCCCAAGGTACTCCCCATGCGTTGCCATTCCTGAGTACTCAGGTGTTATTCCTCTCTAAATCTGTGAATTCACTGCCATATCCCACCCTTCGAACCGAAATACAGCCATGCAAACATAACTGCTTCACGGTAGAAACACGAATGGGATAGAGGTGCCCAAGCAAACGACTTTTGTACAGTCTCCCTCTAGGTATACCGGAACCACAGTATCGCCAAATACAACGATGTACAATACGCTTTAAATAGTGCTATTGTTATTAATTAAGCTTCAAAATTAATTTGAAAAAATTCTTAATTGAGAGGCAAATGTTAGACATTCCAGCAAGTTACCTCTATGTTCCATTTGTCTGCTAGATAGACTGTCATATCTGTCTGTTTACTGTATAGATAATCTGGTAGTATTATTTTATTGTTACCCTATTCCCTTTGGCCACAACACAATATCAGTGCTTTCCTCTTTTGAGGGCGAAGCAATAAACTGAGTTGTGACCATTTTGTATTGTTATGGTACACGCACAAAAGGAAAATTGTACTTGGCTTTGTTTTTTTTTTTAAATAATTTATCTTATCTCGCTTCTTATGTATATCTGTATATGTTATAATTTGTGTGCTGTAAGTAATGCAAATAAATTATCTATCAATCTAATTGCGTACTTGTTACAGGGAGTCGTGATCAACAGCTGGGACGGTGTCCGGGTCAATGCCCTGGCGTGTCGCGCCGACGGCCGCACCGTGCTGGCCGCCGACACTCATCACCGCGTCCGGGCGTACGACTTCAGCGACCTCACGGACCGTAACCTGTTAGTACTCGCAATACGTACACTCTCTCCACTCACACGCATCATCATATGTTATGATATCATCGTCATTAGCTGTTAATTTTTCATTGCTGAACATAGGTCTCTCTCTATTATGCTCCCCATAGACTGCCACGAGGAACTGACCCGTTCCTTTTCAGATTTAGATTCCTTATTTGCATTAAACATGGTTACATTAGATGTTCAGTTGTTTACACTTCGAGATACATGTTTCTCACCAAAATACTGGTATGAAAAAATTGATTAAAATACTATAAACGAGTCATGTACATAAAAGAGGTATGTCAAAATAAATTATTACTATCAGTGTGAATTAAATGTTCATTATTAATATTCTATCCAATAGTCCATTACTTTGACAGTCTTTTGTGAGACTCCAGTTTACAGGGGGGGGGGGGAGATTGTCCATCCATCGACTATTATACTTCCTTATTAGTCTTATGATATCGACGGAAAACGAAGGAATCGGCCCATTCTATACTGGGACCACATGGCTTGTATTATGATTTCAAGAATACAATTAAATAAAAAATAAAATAAATCACATTTCTAAATTTAAATAACATTTAAATCTTAATCTAATCTATATCGTTGAAATATCAGCAATGCAGTGGTGAGTAATGCAAAGGGGTGTAACGTTGCAGGATTCAAGAGGAACACGCGGTGATGGCGATGACGCTGAACGCCAACGACACGCTGCTACTGCTCAACGTCGCCAACCAAGGAGTCCACCTGTGGGACATACGTGAGTGCACAGTTGTATAATATCTCTAAATAGGTCTATAAATAGAGTTATATAATTCTAGAATATGTAATATTTAGTTTGCAGATTTTGTCACAACCAGGAAGAAACGCCACAGCACTTAATTTGTGGTTGTAGCCCATTCATAGATAAATGATTTATTTTCTTTGGAAAATACACTTTATATTTATTTATTTGTAGGATCACCAACATAAGATACAGTGAAACATTTCAATACAATACACTGGTGGATTAGATCCAACTGTTCTTACATTTATAGGCAACCACAGCATGCCTTGTGTTTGACAAACATTAAAATGGAATTAAATTATTAAATATTATGAAGAGATAAAAGACACTGCTACCAAATTCCTATCTACATTATCATCCTATCAGGAGTTAACTCTCTACTGCTGAACGTAAGCCTCTTCTTTATCCACGCTTGGCAGGCGGTTTGACAACCGCAGTTAGGCTTTGCAGATGTTTTAAGAGGGACGCTGCTACCTATCTCTCGTTCTCCCTTAGTCGCCTTTTACAACTCCCACAGGATAGAAAGGGCCTATTCTATGCCGAGGCCAAGTTCTATTTTCTAATACTACATTTTATCACTGATAGAAATTAGTAGCGAATTTTAAAAAAGGACGAGCACAAAAGATGGAAAGGTCGCGGTGTCACAGGTTTTTCCGACTGAAAAAGCTCTCTCAATAATAATAATACGTAATTCTATTAGAGATATTGTTAACTGGAAAGGGCAGTTTTTATTTCGAATCGCCACGTGATTTGAGATTGCGAATATTAACCCTTATAACCCTTATTATTAAAATTTAATGAAAGAAATCTTTGTTGTGTTGATGTCATTTACCCTTGTCTCTAAAAAAACTGTGTCTCCTCCAAAAATTATCCAATTTTAATATTTTTTTTACAGCAAGCTAAACAGCGACTGATTTCACGAGCGCTATTACGCTCGTGGCACTTTTAGTTGCAATGCGCACGAGCGCGATGGCGCTCGTCGGCATTTAAAGGGTTAAGCGTGAATGTCTACAATACCAAAAATGCTGTATCTGGAACTATATATAATAGTAATTTTCTAGCTTTCTTTATAGCGAGAGAGATTGCTTTACGGTGATTTTGTGTTGACTAGAACTTGTTACATACAGGTGCGCGTGCGCTGGTGCGACGGTTCCGCGGCCTCAGTCAGGGGCACTTCACCATCCACGCCTGTTTCGGTGGTGCACATCAGGACTTCATCGCTTCCGGCTCAGAAGACAACAAGGTATGAATTCTTCCATAATATTCAGTTTATACCAGCAGTGTTATGCATTTTTTTATACAAATAAGAATGGCAAACAAGCTGACGGCCCACCTGATGGAAAGTGGTAACCGAGTATACTGTTTCGCCTATGATACCCCCTATGCGTTGCCATTCCTGAGGACTCAGGTGTTATTCCACATGTACATATTTGTATTTGCGTGCCGAATGTTAATATATCTTACGATATTTTTATACAATAATAATTGTTCTTTAATGCTACATCTGATGGTTAATAAGCTAGCTCGCCTGATGGAACATGTTTACTATCACTTACCAGATATTTACCAGAGAGAGACTTTGTCGATTTTTGAAGTCGATTGCTTGCGTACCTCTGTCCCATTCGTGTTTTAACCGTGAAGCAGTTGTGTTTGTTTGGTTGTGTTTCGGTTTGAAGGCTGGGATATGGCGTGAATTTACTGGGTACATCCTTCTACCCAAAATATAAGCACGTAAATATGGAAAATGGATGGCGTTTGTATTTCCTTTAGAGTTACGGTAAATTTAATTACATAACATAGGGTATTTAAGCTTGAGAACTAGAAGATTGAAGTCACATTCTAAGTTACGGTAATATGTCACAGGTGTACATATGGCACATCAACGGTGAAGAGCCCATAGCCGTGATCACGGGTCACACGCGCTGCGTGAACGCGGTCGCTTGGAACCCGGTGCACCACGACATCATCGTGTCCGCCTCCGACGACTACTCGCTGCGGCTGTGGGGGCCGCGCGACCCCCGTGACCCGCGTGACCCCCGTGACCCGCGCGACCCCCGCGACCCCCGGCCCTAGCCCGCTGCCCCGCACGCGAGCTCGCACGCCGTCGTAAGCGACCATGCGCGGTCCCATGTGGTTACAAGCGACCTCACGCATCCACACGCGGCCACATTCGCCCAACTGAACTGAACGGCTTTAAGACCGGTTTACGATATAAAAAAAACACTAGTTTCAAGTACTTTAACTGATGAATATACGCAGAGATGACAGTAGTCACTTGAAAGCTACCGTTTACATGCATCTACTAACTCATTTAAATGCGAGTGTTTTAATCATGTAAACCGGGCGTTAGAACGTTACGACGTGAACAAATATATTGTATTGATTGAAATACACACCTGGTTGGTCAGTGCCCACAATTCAACGACGAATTTCCAATCTATCGAAAATGAACCTTATGTATATAGTAACAGTGACCAATTTCGGGTCTCCCCTCACTAGTAAAATGTAGTTTCTGATAAGGAATTTTAAATCACCAACCACAAAGCCAAAAATAATTGGGTTGGAAGCCACATTCACATTCATTCATATATTTGTGGATTGGGCATGATAATGTCACAAAAACCCGACTGGAAAACAACCGTTAAATTGCATCCCTCTTTATTTTAATACTACTCTATACCCTGTGGCCTTTTCAAATGGTCCTCCTATCCGTCAATAGGTCTACCATGAAACCTAATTCTGAAGTTCCGTGCCCAAATTAATGCGAAATGAAGAATTATGTTTTATTAGCTATAAACTTTACCATAAAGTATCCGAACCAAACAATATCGTACCTTATAGTATCCGAACGAACGAACCATTTTGATTGCATTTGTTTCTTTATTTTTTAACTTAATATTCTTAACCTACTTTCTTTTTACTTTCGCATTGCATAATTCATGGTTTATAAAAGACTGTAATTAACGCCATCGTTTGGGTAAATTATATTTTAAATCGTGTAAACCACAATATTGTTGTTCTCTTGGAAAAAATTTCGTATCAGGTAAGTTTTACGCAGTACGTCAAATATCTACATGTTCTCACACATAGACTCATCAGGAACATCGAAAAATATCTTTTTTTTTTTTTTACAGTCGGGTGAAATGTCAAAGTTTAGACTCTTGTTGATCGTCTCACAAACTCGTAACTTCGTTTATATCTGTTAATCTGTTAACTTCTACAATCTTAGTAGTGTAGTACTAAAGTGCTCTTAAATTCTTCTTTAGCTGAACCCAAAGATTTGTATTGATATTTTAGCTCTTTCTATGTCGCGTTATTGTCAATTGCCAACGATATGCCGTCTGGATGTGCGTTATAATTATTGTGCATTTGAGGATATGTGTGTATTCCTTGGATCATAAATTGATCTCAAATGAGAGAGTTATTTGCAGGTAGTGCGGTCGATTCTGAGGTACCTATCTGAAAATTTTCTCTATTATTATCTCTCTCTATTTTTGTCTCTATCTAATTGTGAAATTACTATTTTATGTATAATCTTTAAATGGAATTTACAATAATTTTAATTTGAACCTATTGGGAGTTTAGTACATATTGGTCCTTGGAGTAAAGATTTTGCTGTGCCACTGAATTTAAATTTAATACATTGAGTTAGAGAAACGATGCCTCAGAATCGACGCAATTGTCGAGGAATAAAAAAAATTTAGTCGATATCATACATTCACGTATCACTTGTGAGCTGATAGATTCCAAACTCAGATCCTGAGATGGTGATGTAGGACTCAGTTGATGCTGTCTCAAAATGGGTGTTGAGTTCAATTGAAATTTATTTTAGTGGTCCTATTATGCTGCCTAGCGGGCGACCATGGTCTAGAAAATTCCTTTCGCCCCCAGATAGTGCAGGCTCCCAAATAAGTAACACTATTATATTATTGTGAGTAAAAAACGCGACTATCTCCCTATATAAAGGAGTGATTACTTAATAAATTATAAGGTTTCTATAGGTCTAATTCTGATTTATTATTTATATTTAGACAGGACACAAGTATATGTTATTGTTACAGTCACCTCACGATGCCAGACGTAATGCAATCTAAAATACAATAATAATAAGGTTTCATTTTGAACTCTTATCGAAACGACTCCGACACTAAAAATCTGTTAATGACGAATTTGAAAATTCATAATGTTAAATCTTAGGACAAAACGAAAATATATTTCAGCATATAAATAATAATAACTGGATATATTTATAATATTATCAGTTGATATTTATACAGAATCGAGACACGTTAGTTCTCAGAAATGACAATGGATAATGGACACCATTGGCACCACACCATAATGCCTATGGTGTTATTTATCTCTGTATGCGATTACCATTTTATAGTTCTGCTTGATGCATTTAGTAATCAGAATTAGTTCTATAGCGTTAATCAAAAAGGTTAAAACCAAATAGTGAATAAAGAATTTGATACTTGTTAAAAATGTTATGTTTTTCGTCTCTGTCTTACCACTGGATGGCAGCGAGATGGAAGATCGATGCCCTTATCTAGATTTGGCCGTTTGCGTCTCTTTCTATCTAGCTATTAATTCGATTGACGTGTAAACGAGACGGAAGATACTACGGAAGATTACACATGATCAAATTTATAATGTGCATCCACTATTTTGGTTTTAAACTCCTTGGTGTTATTATAATTAAGGCGAATGTTGGTAGAAGTGTGGGCGTGTGATGGTCGCACAGCGGCGACCAGTCTATGCGTTGTGCAATTAGGTAAATGAACAAAATGGCTCGTCTACTATGAGAGTTTACCACGCATGACTGGCAACACCTGATTCAGCTGTGAAATTATCAAACACTGAACAATTTTACATATTTTTTCACAGGAATTTATTTTGAAGAAATTTTGTATTATCATAAATAAAACGTGAATTACGTAATAGAATCGTTATCAAACTGACATTCAAATTTCTGGTGAAAAAAAAAAACATTTGTAAACTTCAGAAGAAAAATGTGAATTATATATATATATATATATATATATATATTCAATTTTAATTTGTTGACTTAAGTTTAGACTTATAATTAATATTGTAGAACAAAATTGATTAAATTGAACATAACAATAATTTTTTTTTAATATTTAAGATTATTTTTTTGTTGTCAAAAATTGACAGTGTACGAGCTGCTAGAGTTTTTATATCAACGTTCTTAATTTGAATGGATGAGTGGAAAACTACTAGTAAATCTGCGATTAAAAATTAAAAAAAAAAGGTAATTACCGCCATTCTGTTCATTTGCAAATATAATAATGCTGTTTTATCATCTTATGTGTCGAAAATTGATTCTTAATTTGATTAATAAAACGGCCAGTATCAGTACTAACAGCATGGGCCACAGTATAGCGAATTATCGGCAATAAGTATTCCACATCTATAACTTAATATATCCGGCCAGTAGTAAAGCGAAAATAGTACTTATGTACTTGTTTACAAAGTGGAATATCTACTGAATTGCCCGCAATATGATTGATAAATAAAAGAGTGATTAAATTATTGTATATTTATAACACGAAACTTGTTCCGACGAGTTCATTGTAGGCATCATACGATATTTAGTTTATTTAAACTCGATTCGAACATGTACTTAGAACATTTAGACATAGAATACAGATCAAGCAGTTGCCTCACTAAATTGACCAGTTTCGAAAAAATATAAACCGAGCGTGCGGTCAATGCGGTCGATTTTGAAGCGTCAGTTCTCTAAACCTTTCTATAAAATTAAAATTTCAATATTACAGCAAAATCTTTATACTAAGGACCGATGTGAACTAAATTTCTAATAAATTCAATTAAAAATTATTGTAAGTTTAGTTTATTATGATCTATAATATAATCATCGTCATTATATCGGCCCTTAACCGTCCACTGCTGAACATAAGCTTTCCCCGTGGGGGGTTGTGACAGTAGTTGCCACGCTTTGCAGACGGATTGGCAACCGCAGTTAGGCTTTGGAGATGTTTTAAGAGGGACGCTGTTGCCCATCCCTCGCTCTCCCTTAGTCGCCTCTTACGACACCCACGGGGAAGATAGGGGTAGCCTGTTCTACGCCGGGACCATACGGCTGTAGTATAGTATTTTCGCGAAACTATTAAAAGTTTTTTTTTAAGACGGTTTATTGAATGGTGCTTCAGAATCGACCGCAATGTCTCTTTCTAACCGCTCATGCGAAGTGAGACAATTAGACCTTTAGAAAGAGTACTGGTTGCATGTCATTTTGTCTCTCTTTCTCTCTCTCTCTCTCTCTCTCACACACACACTTAACCATTCGTATGTACTTCACTGACATTAATTATTGTTATTGTTTAATATATTAAATACGATCAGCTCTGCGCAAGGAATATATCAAAATTTTTTTTTATTTGTTTAAATAAACTCAAAGACACAAGTGATAGTGCGTGCAATAGTGTGCTAGCAAAGTGCAATAATTCGGCCTCGCGCCGTAATAACTGAATGATGAATTCGTTGGAACGTAGTGAGGATTGACAACTGATTATATGAAATTTGGTCTACCCGACTAGGGCTACACGCGCCCGATGTCAACACAAAGTCGACCGCGAGCGGGGAGACGCGCGAGTGTAGCGCGTGCGTAAGTTAGTATAAGGCTAGCCGTAAGGTAGGGATGGAGTTCGTAAGTTAGGATCGTTGGTGTGTTGATTTTAATTAAAAAAAAATTAACGTTTTAACTCTATTAATGTTGGCGACTTCCATTGTTTTGAAAGCACCACTGTTATAAAACTCTCACAGATTTGAATGTTTAATATAGAAATTCGTATATTATTCTCATATGGCTCGGGAAAGTGAAATAGTAATAATATCTTAAAGTTTATTTGCCACAGATGCTAAATTACCTTTGTCTGTGTTCTGTGACGATGATTTGATTTTTTTAAATTTTTTCGTTGACACGACGTTGCCATTACTTCTGGAAAGTTCTCTTATAATATTACTGTTTAAATAAAAATATTTAAAACCTAAGAGGCTGTTCATATTATTACGTACGAAGTGAGTGCGATGTAAAATGATCCTTATGTTAGAACAGAACAAGGAGACTTTGTACAAAAGTCGATTGCTTGGGTAGCTTTGTCCTACTCGTGTTTCTACGTGAAGCAGTTGTGTTTGCATGGCTGTGTTTCGGTTTGATGGGTGGGATATGTCGTGAATTTACTGGGTAGGGAGGAATAACAACTGAGTACTCAGGAATGGCAACGCATGGGCGGTATCATGGGCGAAACAGTATACTCTGTTATGTCCATGGTACTGCTCCTGTCTATAGGCGACGGTTACCACTTTCCACCAGGTGGGCCGTCAGCTTGTTTGCCATTCTAAGTTGTATAAAAAGAGAAACACGACTTTCAAAGTATTCCAGGATTATTTTTATGTCACACCCGTTCGTTGTAATATGAACAGCACTTAATACTTGTGGTAGTCGATCGTTGCTAGTTCTCGATTCTGTAATGTCATAATTAAATGCACTTTTTAAAATTATTTGTATTTAAGAATGGATAGTATAGGAGTGCAATCGGCGCTCCCCGCCGCGCCGGACGCTAGATGTAACTATTTTTAAGTCTTCGGTTAAGTTAATTAAGAGGTAATTATAGCGAGCAGAGAATATTTTGTAGCGTAGTAGACCGCTCGCGGCTCTATTTTTGTACCGATCACAGAATCTCTCATCTGGTTGAACCGTAAGCCCGTTATACTTTGATATTGTTCTTGAATATGTGGGATTGGTCCTAATTGATATACCGAGTGGTAATCGGTTATGTCGTAAATGGAAGTGACAGAATTCGTGAAACTGGACAGTTTATACTAAGAAGCATAGATGGAATCTGAAAATGTATTTTTTAAATATTTCATATTTGTTTTATGGATGATAATGGAATGGTGACCCCGCCCGCGCTATCGGTATACACCGGCGGGGCACCAGTGAAGGATGATAAGTAAGAATAAAGTAAGTCAGTTAGCCCATCGTGACGGGGCAACCACGTGGAGGTCGACCTAATAAGGCATATTGCTAGCAATTGGGCTGTCAAACTCCATTGCTAACAATCCCTTTCCCCCCAAAATCTTTCATATTACACTCAATGTGACCAACATTACCAAATTATTACTACAAAGAAAAGTATCCAAAATTATTTTGAGATTCTAATTCTACTCCTTGGTTTAATGAATATCAGTGAGTTTCTTCTTAGTATATCCATTGCGACTGATCCTATAGTTTTTAAATTATAAAATTCGCTAATATCATGTTATGTGTGAAACAATATTGGTATAAGTTCTAATGCAACGCTAAATTCAATTGGTTATATCAAATTCATATATGTTCTATGTTATTTCGGTGATACTGCGTTACTTGCATAACAGTTTTCGCCACGTTTTACTTCTTCTATAACAATAATTTCTTCAAACACAGGGTTTGGTGTCTTTTGTTAAAGATTTCTTGTGTTACAAAATATGATAAAATTCACAAATTTTAAATGTGTCTGTACTATTAGTGAATTAACACAATGCCCTCTTTTGTTAATGTTATATTTATTTCTGTATCTTATTAAAGGCTTTAAGAAAACATCAAAATAATTTGTGTTTAGTGTTGCATTAGAATTAATAATAAAGTTTATAATTGTTGAACCGATATAGTAAATACCTAATGTTTTTTCTATACGCCATCTTCAGTACTTTATACTCGTATATTGAAAAGTATAACGCGCTGATGCAATCAAAGAACTCCGAGGCGACATGTATTCAGCGGGTCTACCATGAAATGAAATTCCGAAATTTCGGACTCAATTTCGTGTTTTTTTTTTTATACCAAAATCGGACCAATAAATGGAGTTTAACATTTCGTTCGTCATACATCCTATCATAAAAGTCAAAAGGAACAATATTTTAACATTTTTAATATTTCCAAACGGCATGTATTATGTAATTTTAACATCAAATTTCTGTTTCGTTTGGCTCCGAAATTTCGGAAAACATTTCATGATAGGCTCTCAGTTCGCTTATAACCATAACGAAATTATGTATTAATTTTTAACATTTTTTTTTTATCTTTTTGATGGTTTATTTTTAGAGATACTAGTTAGCTTTTATAGTGAGCACCAGTTCTGCCCCGCGCTGGCACGTACGGCGTCGCGAGTGGCATGCAGCGCGGGGTAGGGTTGTCGACTGCCCGGAGTTCACTCTGTACCAAATATCAGGCAATAAACTGTTTGTGTGTCTGAAGCGCGTGTGCGTGCGTGTGTACGGGTGGGTGCGTGTGCGTGCGCGCGCGCGTGTGTAGCAAGTACAAACGAGCGCTCGCATTATTTACTATTATAGGTACGAATAACGATAATTGACTATTGCGGTGGACGATATCGGAGTTGTGTGGGGAACCGCCCCGATTTGAATTGTTATAACATTATATCAATAAATTTTTTATTGTAACTAAAATTGTTTTTTTTTTTTTTTTCAATTTATATCGTCATTATTAACATTACGACCTATCCATTGTTTAAAGTTCAAACACAGATCTCCCGTTAGATATCTTCATTTCATTGCATTGATGTTTAACATCTTAAGATCTAATCTTAGGTTTTAGCATTTCACATAGTAAGTAATTGTAATATTAGTTAGTTTGGAATTTGGAACATTTTTTCCTTTGTACTTCAAAGCATAGACAACAAAAAAAAAAAGAAAAAAGCAGAGGGAAAATTGAAATACCCAATTGGATAAAAAATAATTTGGTTTATTATTAAATAATTAACTTATAATCCTACATAGGCATAAATCTTACAAGTAAATTAAATAGGTAACAATATACAAGTACATATACACTTTTAAATATTGAATTTTAATAATTTAATGTTGAAAATATATGAATTTACTCGCCTCATTGGAATAATGAACTAGTATGAGACGATGTGACAACAATGAATGGAAGATAAGTAAACCAGAGATAGTTTGCTAGTAGCATTTATAACAATACAGATACAGGTAAAAAACACGAGTTTAATTGAATTCATTAATATTGCATTTAACCTTTAAATACCTGAAGCTTCAAATTTGATACCTGGGTTATAAATCGCATTGGGCGCCTACAATCGATTTTGTTTTAATATTTGGCTGTTTACATGTTACCAATTGTTTTTTTCAAAATAAATATATAAAAATTTCGTTTTGATTTTTTTACTATTTTTCTCCATTAGTAAACACAGTAAAAGGTAAATTTATATATTTTTTAATTTGATTTAAAAAATCAGGCATTTAAGGGTTAAAAATTGCATTGTAAAAGTCCAATAAAACGCTATTGAACTTAATAAAACATTTTACCTGTATATTTAATACTAGCTGTATCGCGCAGCTTCGCCTGCGTGAATCAATACATATAGTATCCTATGCGCTAAGTTAGGATATATCCTACCCATGTACTAAATTTCATTCAAATCCATTCCGTAGTTTTTGCTTGAAAGAATAACAAAAATCCATCCTTCCATACAAACTTTTTTATTAATAATATTACTAGAATGGTAACAGACTGTCCACTTTATACATTGTGTTGAGACTACTCAATTTCATCATTTTAAAATGAGTTAAAATTATGATGAAAATTTTATCAATATAAATTTTTTTAAACATTGATATTAGTAATGTTTAAAAAAATTTATATAAAAATGAGCTCAGCATTTTAAATTTCGGTAGATCATTACAGAGAGCCATCCACCAGTAAATAAGATGTATAGGTAATTAAAATGATGTTAAAATATTGTTAAATATTTTTATATATCAAACATGGCAAATAAGTTTACAGTCAATTATTATAATCTGATGGTGGCTTTATTCACTTTTATTTTTATACTTTCAGGTAATAAATATTAATAGTTTTTATTATAGAATGACAGTGGCATATAGTTGGTATTTACAGATGGTAAATGGTTACCATAGCCTTTGGAAGCAACACATGTGCATTGTCGACTGTGAAAAAACATAATAATTTTATTAATACATTTGATCATTTATTTTGACTATAAATTTGCAGTTCCAGATTTTTCTACTAGTTCTAACAATGTGTGCAGCGATGTATCGAACAGTTCACATCTAATTGGCATTTCTAGTGAGTAGAATGGATTTTTTAAAGCATAATCTGAGTACAGTTCATATATCCGTTTGAGTACCACCTCCGAACCCTGCATATTGGGGTCTGTCACTATTATAAATTTAACACCTGGGGAAGAGAAAGAAAAAGAAAAAGTCAAAAACCAATTAATTTAACAATGACAAATAGCAAAATAGCATAGAATATAATGTACACAGCCTATGAAATAAATACAGTATATAATTCTGCAGAATGTACACAGTCTGCAGTATCCTAATTTGTTGGCATTCATGAAAATCAAGATGTTTGTTTAAAAACATTATATGTCAAGGATTCCTTCATTCCTAAATAGATGAGTCACATAAAACTAATGCAGTAAAAGTCACTGAGTAAATATTGAATAAAATGAGACATATTTATATTAAATGTTGGTGAAATATAATACTTTAAGATTGGGTTCCACAAAAAACTGAATTCAACTATAGGAGAATCAGTTATTTTTATTCAAAAATTTAACCACTGAGCACATTTTAAGAAAAATTCAATAGGTTCAGTTTTTGCCAGAGTTATCATAAGTCATTATTAACAGAAAGACATTAATGAATATGCTATTGTGATGATATTTAATTTACATGTTACTTTTTTCTAAAATCGCAAATTTACTATGCCCACTAGACATCTCTATACATTCCCCTGGTTGGGAAGTTTTGTGATAGAAAGCAATATGCTAGCAATAGTGTTATTAAACCCAATTAATAAAAAAATCTTTCCCCCACAAATGCTGATAGTTGGTAAGTGCAATAATTGTGTACAGCTGGATCTACTGCAGATAAATTTTTAGACTACCACTTATGTTTTTTATAAAATATAAATTTTGTTATAAAAATTTTGCACAGGATTCTGCCTGCAGAACTGTTTAGGGTAGCTAGCTTGTGATCAAATATCACAATGTTGTGGGATAGGCAGTATAGTATTCTGCTTAGATGTTCATAGATTTAGTCATATTTATATGCAGTATTTTTTTTTATACCACTGAGGTGGCAAACAAGCATACGGTGGACCATATGCTTGTTTGCCACCTACGTGGTGGGAATGCCGGCATAGCATAGGTATTTGTAGAATTATTTATTATTATCAACCAACTTTAAAAAGAAGAATGTTCTTAATTCGGTTATATTTTATTTATATTTTTTACCTTATAAGTCCATCAGTTCTAAGCCTATTTACAAAATTCTTTTTTTATCTAAAAGGATATACTTACAGATTGGTCTTATAGAAATTTTATCAAAATCAGTTCAGTCGTTTAGTTTTTAGACCAAAATAACTGGTTTCATCAAAATTGTAACATTTGTAAAATAACATTATTGTACTGTATTTTTTTATACCACTGAGGTGGCAAACAAGCATACAGCCCACCTGATGGTAAGTGGTTACCGTTGCCTATGAACACCTGCAATACCAGAGGTATTATGCGTGCATTGCCGACCCTGAAAAAACCTCTTAACCCCCCTATCTGCTGACAATGGATACATACTATTTAATACAAGCAGAAATGCCTGGCAACATTGTAAATTGAGTATTTATCATGCAAAAATTTAAACATTGCTAGCATGTGTGTAGTAGGACTAGCCAGGTATTTCTGCTTGCTTGAAAATACTACTAGTATTTATAGAATCATGATTATCTCTTTAATAGTATATAAATTTTATAAATTTGTATAGATATGTATAATGTACCTGTTAATGTTTGGAAGCAAGATAGCTTGAACGTATCAGCAGTTAACGACTCAATGCCCGAACACTTGGGGACAGGGCTCAGTTGGCTGGCGAGTGCAAAAAGCGGGTAGAACATACTGGCCAACACTATTTTCTCATTGGTTGTGGCACGAGCACGACCAAACTTCAAACTTAGAGGGTAATTTTCCTAAAATGTAAAATACGACAAAAAAATATATATTGAATGATACATCAATAGGCAGTACAAAGCTAATAAAGGTTCAGGGGTAATATATATGGTAACAAATGTTGTGATATATAATATAACACAATACAATATAAGCCCTAGATTACACATCTTTCTAATTGAAATTATCAAAAAAAAAATTATAATGTATGAATCCTCTAATTTCTACATTATTTATTTTAAATGACAAATTCTAACCCCATTACTCATAAACATACTACATCCTAAAAACCTATTTGAGTTAATAATATTATCTCTTTTTTCAAATTGAGAATTTAGCACAAAAAGGATAAAATAGTTCAATAGCTAAAATAGGTTTATGAGAGGGTTAATATGTTTATAAACAAGGGAGTAAAGATAAAAAGCCGAAATGATTTTCAGACAATTTAAATACTAATTGTTTATAGAGTTAAATTAATTGAACTATCTTGTAATTATGTAATTTGTGATTATTTATTTTAGATACCTTTGTTTCTATTACTTCAAAAACATCTTTACCATCTTCTAATGTACGTCCATTTACTGGTGCTCCATTTATAGAAAGCAATACGTGTCCCACTGTAAAAAGCAAACATGTTAGCTAGAGAACACACTTTTTAAGACTCGACGTTTCTTAGTAAGAAGCGATTGAATTTTACAACTTTAACGTGGCTCCGAGACTGATACATTATGCGTATAAAGTTATTTAATACCGTTTATGCCATCCCTCTGCCCAAAAGCAACAACCACCTTCTTGTTTTCATATTGTAGTTTAAGATCAAGTGGAAACCCGAACGTTTTCTCAGTTTCCACCTTTGGTATAACATGGTCGTAATTGTAAATAAGTCCGCCAGACTTGCTGACGATGTATATACCGTATATCACCATTGGATTTGATTTAATTCTTAATTTAAGTGATATAAATTTTATGGAAAATCATCAATACAACAAAATATTGAAATATTCGAGCCGAGACAACTGTGACTGACATTGATTGATCATAGAACTGACAGACAACTGTCGCATTGCTAGATGTGATTTTTTATTTCACTTCAAATTTTAAATGTTCTTCAAATTGATAGATTTTAATTTTTATTCAAACATTATATTTTATTAGTTTTCAGTTCGCTTTGACCAATAATCATTACATGAGCGACGAAGAAAAAATAAATAGTGTTCTTTGCGTTGATCTTTTAAGATCTTATTACTACCATAAATGATATCAGACAATATACCTACATCATTTTGACTTTCTTCCAACAATTCAATTTAAAAATTTTGTTGTATCTCCAACCCATATAATTTTACCCAAAAGTACGTAAATAATGCAATCTGGGCATGCTGAACAAATGTCAATCTAACTGTGAATCTAATCTGTGAGTACTACGTGAACTGTCATTGTAACATCTTGATGTTTTGTTGCAGATTTCGCATTTTAATTTTGACAATCTTTGTTTTTCATCTTTGGTTTTTGCTAATCACATCATAGATTAAAGATAATATTTCTTTCAACGCTTTTACAGGCTTTTATGTTGGACAACAGGAAAGGTTTGAGTTCTTTCTGTCATGTGATAAGAGAAGCTGCAAATTAAAATTAACACACAGTATTTGATATAGGCCAGATAAGAATTTACGATCTTTGGAATTTACCCCCAACAACAAACAACTAGGCTACGACGCTCTCACAGACAGAAGTAGTTTACGATTATAGGAGTAAGATTACTTAACGCTTCAATTCCGCCCTATAAGATCTTCTACAACGGAACCTTGAAAAAGATGAATCAAAATCATAAATTCATACTACCTACGTAAGCCATAGCTATCTCGTACGGCAAATGCGTAACATCGGAGATAAAAAAAACAATGACAATTGCGCGGCCACTGGCGGGTTTTCCAAATGCATTAGCATGCGTATTTACTTGTATAATAACGTACGTACACTGAAATATTTATAATTTGTGGTCAACCTATCAAGGTTTCCATTCATTCGTTGCCGTATCTGGACTGGGTATTTTTATATAAACTAGATCGACAAAGACTTTGGTAAAATGTCTGCATACAATCTCTCAATCGTATTTCTGCTGTCATTTAGGTGTGGAGCTGTGTTTCGACACCTAAATAATCCTATACGATAAACAATCCTATGTTTCGATTTGAAGAGGCGGATATGACTATGTAATTAAAGGATATGGATACAGCGCTATCTAATGCCAACATAACACTATGTATACATGAAAATATTTTTGTACCTATATACATAGATAGGCACAGGCATAATGCTGGACCACCTTACATGAAATGACGATTTTTTAAAGAATATACTAAAAGGAAAAATAGAGGGCAAAATAAGAAGGGGAAGGTCGAGAAATAACTACATGGGACAGATAAAAAAAACACTAGGTGTCATGTCGTATTGGGAGGTCAAAGATATAATAGAATATAATAGAGCTGGCTGGAAGAGAATGCATAAATTAATTGCCTCGACAAAAGGAAATTCTTAAATAAAAAAAAAACATAGATACTGGTAAATACATGTTTATATGCGCAGATTGATGATTTAAATAATAGTAAATATTGATAAGTGAGTTAGTGTTTTTTTTTAATAATTGACAACGGAATGATAGTTACTCCCCCTACGCTATCAATATATGGTACCAATGAGTGGTGCTAGGTGAAGATGAAACCAGAACAGTAGGCCCATTGTGACGAATTAATAAGAATATTGAAGTTTCTATGAAGGAACCGACTGGATATCTATCTGATATTAGTATATTTATTTATTTTACACTTTATTGCACCAAGTAAAAAAAAAATACAGTAAATATTAATGAGAAATGATACAGAAGGTGGCCTTATCACTAAGCAATAGTATACTGCTAGATATAGGGATTATCGTACTCTCTTCCCCAGTGAGATTGTATTGATTCGTCACACTACCATCCTGTCCATTTCCGTCCTTCCGTCTGTCAAAGCGCTATATTTGTTTTTAATAATTAGAAATTAAGAATAGTGTTAGGTATATATTATTGGCTCGCACATATAGCAATGGAAATAATTTACAAAATATTTTTATTTTCTTTCTTTGGGAGTATAAAACGGAAACCTAAAATTGCTAAATTAACCTATTAGTCCAAGAGGAGAATCAATTATATGAAAGGGCTTCATTTGTATATAATATATCAAAACGGATTTTTAATTATTTTTATGACGCGTAAAACATATATAAAATAAACTAAATAAATTAGTTATAATTGAAACTCTTAAAAAAAAAACAATTCCCGTCTATATTCGAAGTTTTAAAAGTGAAAAATCTGAAATAATTACGGTTTATAAAGGCATATGTGAATATTACTTGATAAATATAACGATGTCTCTAACTAGCACCTTTTTTAAAAAAATATTTAAAAAAATCCAAAATCAAATTATTATTATTAATATAATTGTTTATAACCACAATTATGACTCAAAATAAGAAATACACGAATTGTAGTATCAATAATAATAACTATTAGGTGTTTATTTCGTACGACAAACGTAATAAAGGTCATTTTGTCTCATATTTATATATTTATACGCACGGAACCCTCGGCGTGTAATTTCAACTCGCACCTGTCCAGTTTTTTTATTTATATTACCGGTAATATTATTGGATATCAGTATGGTCGGGTCAATATTTCGTTTATATACGTTTTTATTAAGTTCTATTGAAAGAGAGTTTGGCTTATAACTATACAATTGCCGTGTGGTTTCGGCATAGAATAGGCCACCCATTCTTTTCCCGTGGTTGTCGTAAGAGCCGACTAAGGGAGGGCGAAGGATGGGCAGCAGCGTCCCTCTTAAAACATACAAAGCCTAACTGCGGTTGCCAATCGACTAACTATCGGCAAAACACCCCAAAGGGGAGGCTTATGCTCAGCAGTGGACAGTTAAAAGCTGATAATGATGATAGTAGTACAAACATTATAGGTAGGCAGTTATGCAAAATAAAAACGTGTAATCACACGAATTATGTTGACCATCCGTTTAGTCTCGCGATCATTTTAATAAACAATCGAATTGTGTCATCGTGCTTTGTTTAGTGTTAAACTAACACATATCCACTTCCTACTGCTTTCAGGCTGCAGCGTGAGTAATCTTCAAATAGGTAGTTACACAAGATGTGCTCTACTCATCCGTGTATGACTAATTTTATTTAGGTCGCTACTTTGATTGTAAAATATTATCCAAGTATTTGCAGAGCTTGTATGTAGTTTTAATGAATGATAATGAAATGGAGAGATAAAGGGAGGGCGAGGGATGGGCAGCAGCGTTCCTCTTAAAACATCTCCAACTTTGTACAAAAGTCGATTGCTCGGGTACCTCTGTCCTATTCGTGTTTGAACCGTGAAGCAGTTGTGTTTGCATAGCTGTGTTTCGGTTTGAAGGGTGGGATATGGCGTGAATTTATTGGGTACAAAGGAATAACACCTGAGTCCTCAGGAATGGCAACGCATGGGGGTATCATGGGCGAAACAGTATACTCAGTAATGTCCATGGTACTGCTCATGTCTTTAGGCGACGGTTACTACTTTCCATCAGGTGGGCCGTCAGCTTGTTTACCATTCTAAGTTGTATAAAAAAAAATAATGAAAATGATTAATTAACCTAACCAAAATACAGTGGCGAGAATGGGATTTTTTTTATTTTATTTATTTATTTAGGTTCACCAACAATTGTTTCCACAAAATAATGTAAATATATATACAATTATGGAGCATAGAACTAAGTGTAACATTTTTTTATAGGCAAACACAGCATATATTGATACATGTATAACAATAAGTACGGAGAAATATATATAGCTTACAACTATTATTAAATGCTTAACAACTAACAAATAAAGCTACCATATCCACAAGCAGATCCAGCAGCATGACTCATTTTATATATTTATAGACATTACGTACAAAATTTGTTAGTAACAAGATTTAACAACCTTACTGCTATCAATATACGCTATCAGGTCGACCTCCACACGGTTCCCCCTAGAAACCATAGTGGTTAATTCTTATTTAATTGGTCACTATAGTCCAACTGACCTGCCATTAATCTCACCTGTCACCTTTCACTGGTGCCCCGCTAGCGTATACGGATAGCGCAAGCGGGATTACTATTCCATCTTCACCCATAAAAAAAAAAAACAAAGTACAGTGATACTTACATGTGGGGGGAAGGAATTGTTAGTAATGCAGAATATCGGTCGCATTGCTAGCAATACTCTGTCAGGTCAACCTCCACGTGGTCCACCCTGGAAACCATCGTGCTGAATTCCAGATGTATTCATCACAATGGACTAATTGAGCTACCTTTTCATTCTCCCACATTCATTCACACCTGAGTCCTCAGGAATGGCAACGCATGGGGGGTATCATGGGCGAAACAGTATACTCTGTTATGTCCATGGTACTGCTCATGTCTATAGGCGACGGTTACCACTTTTCATCAGGTGGGCCGTCAGCTTGTTTGCCATTCTAAGTTGTATAAAAAAGAACCATATCATTATCATCCATTAAAAAAAAAACATAGACGTAATTTTTTTTGTATGAACGCTCTTAAACATTTATTTGTTTTAGTTAACGACTGTTTGTATTTAATAATTATTATATTGCCATTATAAACGTGAAATAAATAAATAAGAAAGTGAGTTTGTTTGTATGTTACGTTTTAGCGCATTAACAGCTTAACTAATCGCTATGAAATTTGGTATATACGTACTATGTAAGATGGCCTTAGATATAGGTTACTTTTTATCCCATTCGTAAACAAATCCAGGTCACGCAGAGGAAGTCGTGTGTAAAAACTAGCATATTGTAAATGTATATCTGAAAACATCTCATCACAATGGATGATAATGGAATGGTAACATCGCCTACGCTATCGGCATATGCTGGCGGAGCACCAGTGAGGAATGATAGGTAAGAATGAAAAAGCAGGTCAGTTAGCCCATCATGATGAACACACCTCGATTCAGCACGAATTTCAGCACGGTAGCTTCCAGGGAGAACACGTGGAGGTCTTTTTTTACTGGATGATAATGGAACGATGACCCCGCCTGCGCTATCGGTATACTCTGGCGGGGCACCAGTGAGGAATGGTAGGTGAGGATAAAACAGGTCAGTTAGCCCATTGTTATGAATACACCAGGAATTCAGCACGATTGTTTCCAAGGGGAACCACGTGGAGGTCGACCTAATAGGGTATATTGCTAGCAAGGGAGTTGTCAAATTCCATTCATCCATCCATTTCATTTAACTATTATATGTTGCACACAAAATTATATTGGACATTGCAAATTTAAGTGTATTTATATTCGATTATGTAAAAAAGAAAGAAAGAAAACATTTATTGCCAACAACAAAAAAGTTACATACATTATCAATTTAAAAAACAAAACTTTACATTTGTTATTGCCAACGTGGTCACCACTCAGCATGTGCTGCAGCAATTTAATTTAATTTAACGTCTTTTATAAATATTTTAAGTCAAAGGAAGTTATTTAAGTATCCACTGAAATATAGGCTCGGCCTAGTTTGGTGGCTAGTAGATCTAACTAAATGTATGTAATTTATAATTCAATAAAGATAGTTATTGTTATTATAAGTGTTTAATTTCGAATTATTTCTACACATTACATAAAATATGCATCTTGACTATTATTAAAAAAAGAAGATCAATCGTACCGATGCAAGCGCGCATGCACCGGCCGGCGGCGCCCGCGCAGCTTCCCAGAAAGCGTTTTCCTCGTCACAGCGGCGATGACGAACCGCTACGTCACGCTGATGACGCGGGCCGCGGATAAAAAGAGTGGCGGTGGCGAGCCGCGGAGCCTAGTGCTGGCCCGCCGACTGTATGGTGCAGAGCTCACCCTGGCGCCCCAACATGCTTATATGGAGGCCGAGCCCCCGACGTCCTCGGCCCAGCCGGACTCCGCCACCGACGGCAGTGACGACTCCGGCGACGAGTGCGTCCCAACCGGTAATTGTCCATATTGGAGGTTATGTGTGAATCAGTGCAGTTTTTCGGCTAAGTGATTCAGTGTTTGTGTGTCTTATTGGAGAGGATTTATTGTGGGAAGTAATCAATAATGCCTTTTATCAAGAGGAGAGCGGATTTCCTAAGGACGTTCCCGTATCTCAAAGCGTCTACACACTCGCGCTACCACCATAAACTAATACAGAAATAAATAATTTACTTAATTCTTAATTAATTATTAGGCATATTGATGTTTATCAAAATATCGATTGGATTTCACGTCAGGTGTGCGAAATGTCAAATTTAAATTGTTCCATTTGGCGGAGTACATAACAATTGTAAACACGTAGTATTATTTGAATGAACGTGACAGTGTTACAGATTAAAAGATACATTTTTATCGCATTTATAAAGTATATAATTTTAGAGTGTATAATGCAATTCAAAATAAGTAGATAAGTAAAGATAACTTACGACGTTTAATTATAACTTCCAAAATAAAGTTACGATGTAGTAATAAAATGTAGTTAACTGCAGTTACCGTTAGTCAATTAATATTTTCATACAGACTAATTTTTCTGAAATTAAATTGAAATTAAAGATATATTATACTCGAGGTATATTTGGGTACAATCTAAAATCAATAATGTACATACGCGAAAAATGCATAACGAGAAAAATAAGATTAAACATAACCTAATAAAAGTTTAACTCGATTATTTGCAGTAATAAGTAGATAAGTAAGATATCTATTTACTTATATTACTTATTACCTAGAGAAATTTTCAAATAAATAAACATTTTGAAATTAAATATAACATTTATTAGAACTTGAAAACAAACAAATTTAGTAATTAGCTGTGAGACATTAGGAAGACTTACTTCTTAATATATATATTTCTATCAAAAAATATTATAAGTGGGCCTTATAAATACAAAATGATACACATCACTTAATTAAAAAAATAATAATTTATAATAAAAATAAATAATTAAACGTCACTACTAAATTGTTTTAGTAGATAGATAACATAATGCAAGGTGTAGGCCTTAGTGTAGGCCTAAATACATTTCAATTAATGTTGCTAGCAACTAACGTATGGCGAAAAGCTTAGATATTTGTATCCAGAGATATTTATTAATAATAGAACGCTTTATTGGTGTTTACAATATACCTAAGTTTTCAGTAAGTATTTTGGAAAATATACTATGCAACTGATGCAAAATTTAACGATTTTTATTTAGCCTTCGTTTGGCGGGATTTTTTTTTTCGTTTCGAGCGAGCAAAAGTTCTAAATCGATTTTAGGATAGATTTTACTCCCAGTTTTCATTATTTTATTGAGACATTAGAAAAAGTTAATTAGAATAAGTGATAAAAAAAAACATTACGTTATAATAAATATCAGTTTGGGTGAATAGGTGTGTAACACGGTGGATTTTGCTTTTCAAAAAAAGAGAATTTAATTGTGATTAAAGTAATATTGGTCTAACATTTATTGTAAAAAAATATTAACACATTTGTTTTCTAAATTAATAATTCTGATGCTAAATTAAAAAAAAAATAACTTCACCTTATTAAAGTGATACGTTCTCAGATCTTCAATCTAATCTAAATATTTATAATTCAATATAAATCTAAATAGGTAATATTGAAACTAGATAATGCCTGTACATAAAAGATATTTGAGTAAAAATAAGGGGAATAGAAGCTAAAACAATATTTTTAAAATTTTGGTCTGTCTCTCTGTATGTTTGTTCTGATATCACGCAAAAAATTAGCACCAAGTTTATTGTGGTTTCCACAGTTGTGTTGCTGAAGGCGGAACATAAAATCTTGTGTATGTCCTATCTTAACACGCTACTTAGAAATAGACAATTTTTTTTTAATGGATGATAATGGAATGGTAACCCCAATGGTAGCCTGCGCTATCGGTATTACACCGACGGGGTACTAGTGAGGGATGATAGGTGATGATGAAGCAGGTTAGTTGGTTCATCGTGACAAATTTAACAATAAATCAATCACGATGATTTCCAGGAGGTACCACGTAGAGGTCTGCCTGATAGGGTATATTGCTAGCAATTGGATTGCTAATCTCCATTACTAACTATTCATTCTCCCCGCGCTCTATATTATTTGTTCTCCTATTTTCAAATCGCGCGTAAAACAAAGTGGCGAAAAGCTTAATAAATAAATTAATTTTATCAATAAAGAAGCATTCATAAAAATATAAATAAATTTACATGATTTTTAACTGACTTCAGAAAGAAGGATGTTATCAATTTGATTGTATTTTTTACGTTTGTTACCTAATTATTTCCATTAGTTGTAAACCGATTTGGAAAATTCTTTTTTTTATCTGAAAAGATATACTTACAGTTTGGTCTCATTGAAATTTTATCAAAATCGATTCAGTAATTTAGTCTTTAAATCAAAATAATTGATATTGCCACCATTGGAGACAGATTTCCTGTAAAACACAATTTTATGAAGTACTTATAAACCCTATCTCCTATTATAAAGTATCTAAATTGTGAAGGCAAAAGGAAAAAGTATTTATTATTAAATTTTTTTTATACAACTTATAATGCCAAACAAGCTGACGGCCCACCTGATGGAAAGTGGTAACCCTCGCCTATAGACATGAGCAGTACCATGGATATAATAGAGTATACTGTTTCAGCCATGATACCTCCCATGCGTTGCCATTCCTGAGGACTCAGGTGTTATTCCTCTGTACCCTGTAAATTCACGCCATATCCCACCCTTCAAACCGAAACACATAAATAATTCAAATAATTCATGAATTTCCAATTAACTTATTTAAAATACACTTTAATAGATGACGGAAAACTATATACTGTACTATATTTTTGTATGTGATTGTAAGTCCACGTAATAATGTTATTTCTTTAATTTAGCTACATATAAGTTTTATTCTTTAAACAACAGGTATTTTAATTAAAAAAAAAAAAAAATTGTACCCCTTTTTTGGACTAGGAGTGTTTTTCTATACGATCCTACTAAACCGTATTAAAAAAAAATGTTTATGCTCACTTTTATATTATATTTGTGCAGTAAGTACTACCTATTGTGGTCATTTTCGTGTACAATACAGTCTATCTTATATATGTGTAAGTATATTTGCTATTTATATATATTTATTTGTTTATATATGTAAATTTTAGTGTATATGTATATTAATTATTACTAAAACCGTATTCGAGTATTCTAACATTTCCCTTTAGGTTGAATGGGAGAGAATGCTTTTAGCGTTAAGTTAGATTTGTTCACATACATGTACTTATAAATAAATAAACGAATAAATATTTTATGAATTTTCAATGTACTTACTTAATTTCAACTTTGATAGACGATGGAGAACTACTTACTGGATTTCTTACTTGTGGTTCTAAGTCCACACAACAAGGATACTTATTTAGCTTAGTATTTTTATTTATTTAAATTTCAATGTATTTCATTAAATTCTATGTACATTTGACGGACTTAACAACTGAAGATGTTCTCTACCAGTCAACCATTGCGCAAACCGAAAATTAAGTGGGCATTTATGAGTTGAGGAAACATAAAGTAATACTTAATAAATTCATATATTATAAACATATAATTAGACTAATAGATACATACACATAATATTATATACATATAATAAATATATACATAAAATATTACTATAACAAATAATTAACAGTATTAGAAGAGCTAATATGTAAAACAATGTATGACTTAAACAGTAACCAGCAAAGTTAAGTTCCCTTTAGAAAATTGAATGATTTTTTTTTTATTTTTTTTATTTAAACTACCAGTTTAACCTACGTATATTTTGGTCGAAAATTTGCCTAGTTTCGGAACCATTGGGACCATTCATCATTTTAATTCTTTAAGCAACAGGTTTGATCAAATAAAGCTTTAAGTACCCTTTTCTCGTACTGGGAGTTAAAAAATATGATGCGCGTAATGGCGCTTTGTGTTTTTGTAGAATATCAAATAATAGACAGAAAATACTTAAATGAAAATTATAAAGTGATTTTTGGATTATTTTAATTTATTATTCTACCTAATGTTTTAAATATAAGCAATTGTGAGTAGACGCTTTTAAATTCGCCGTGTGGTCCTGACATAGAGGTCACCCCTTCCTTTCCCGTGGGTGTCGTAAGAGGCGAATAAGGGAGGGCGAGGAATGGGCATCAGCATATCTTTTAAAATATTTCTAAAACCTAACTGCGGTCGCCAATTTGTCTGCCAAGCGTGGCAACTACTGGCAAAACCCTCTAAGGGGGAGATTTATGTTAAGCAGTGGACAGTAACATGCTGATATGATGATAATGAAGTGAACGGAGTTTGTTTGTTTTTTTTGTTACCTCATATCTCTTTAACGACTTAACCAATCACTCTGTAATTTGTGCAATATTAATATATAAAATTCATGTATTAAATTTGTATAAAAATACGCTGTTGATATACTTGTACTCGTGAATATGGGACGAAGAAGGACATAGGCTACATTTTTACCTCGCCAACAAACATATATCGATCACGCGGACGAAGCTGTCGGTAAAAGCTAGTAAAATATAAATATATATTCTGCAGTGAAGAAGCTGTGCTTGTATGTATGAAATTATAGCGATACTATAGTTTTTAATCAGTGTGTGTTACCAGTGATGATCTATAGAACCGAAACATGGTCCTACACGGTTGCCCTGATGCAAGCTAAAGTGCCAATAGGCTAGTTACATAGCTCGAATAACCGACAACCAGTGGAGAATAAAGGTTCTTGAGTAGTGGGCAAATGCAGTGTAGGACGACCCGCATTAGATGGAGTGACGACTTCAAATGCATTGCAGGGATGACTTCATGTCCTATCTACTGACATGAATGCAGATGGCTCAAGACCATTCTTTATGCCAGTCTATGGGGGAGTTCTATATTTAGCAGCATGATGATGATGAAATATTACTCAGAAATGATAATACGTGAAGGGTACCATGGGTATAACAGTGTATTCTATGATATTGGTGGTATTTACAAGCGACGGTCATTGCTTCTCATCTGGAGGGCAATCAGTTTATTCGACATTTTACGTACTATAATTTTAATGTCAAAAAGTTTAAGCACTTCTAGAGATTAAAAGAAAAATGTTATATAAAGTGGCAATTTAGCATAATGTATGAATCAGACGTTAACTATCCACTGCTGAACATAGCCTTCCCCATTTTGTAGAGGTTTTGGCAATTCTAGCAAAACCGCCCTTGGTTTTAGCAAATGTTGCTACGCTAGGCAGGTTGTCAATCATAGTATGACTTTTGGTGATGTTTTCAGAGCGACGCTGCTGTCCATTTTCCCACCATAAGTTTCCTTACTCGCCTTTTACGATACCCACGAGATAGCTAATTTAGGGCTAATTTAGCAAAAGTTTAGAACAAATAGCATTTGATCGGTCGAAATGGCATTACTATAATAACATAGTAATGTAATTACATCAGACAGTAAAGCTCACAGATATTTTTTTTTTGATGAGTGAAAATGGTATGGTAGCCCCGCCTGCGCTAACGGGATACGCTGGCGGAGCACCAGTGAAGGGTGATAGATGAGAATGAAAACAGGCCAGTTAGCCCATCGTGATAAATTCATCAGGAATTAACCATGATAGTTTCCAGGGGGAACCGCGAGGAGGTCGACCTGGTTTGGTATATTACTAGCAGTGGGATTCTCAGTCTCCATTACTAACAATCCCTTCCTTCAGCTCACAGATATTGTGAAAAATAGGGAAATCTCTAAATAGGTTTCGATACATCGACGTGGTGTAGCGAACAATTTTTCAAATCTTATTCATTAAGATGAAATAGTTGAGCTCTCTGCCTCAATAAGTTCATCATCATATCGTCACGCCAGCCGTTAAGTTTCCACTGCTGAACATAATTGGAGTTTTGCTAGTAGTTGCCACACTCGGCAAGCGGGTTGGCAACCGTAGTTAGGTTTTTAGTGATGTTTTAAGAGGGACGTTGCTGCCAATCCCTCTACCATGAAGTTTCCTTAGTCGCCTCTTACGACACCCACGGGGAAGGCAGGGGTAGCCTATTCTATACTGTGACCACACAGCAATTTTTAATTAGGATGCCGCGCCAAATCATTATAATTATTATAGAAATAAATATATTTAACTTTAATAGAGTCACTATAAATTAAACTGACATGGTTTTACATGAGATCTCACTACTGTTTGTAGTGGAAGAACTACGTTCTGAGATTTGTAATTTTTTTACAATTTATATTTTTCATAGGACTTTATTTATTTCTGTAGGTCATTCTTTTTTTTCTAAGATAATATATTGTCCATCAGTTGCAAGCGCTTTATGTTATTTAAATGAATGAACGCAATTTTAAATAATATTTATATTTTTATTTAATGAAAATAAATAATGAAATTTCAGGATTTTTCATTTTTTTCTTCCGTTATAGATTATAATAAAAAATTGCGATTGCTAGAAGTACCTCAGAATTTTGATAACCGGTGAATGTGTCGGTGACAAAATTAAAGAACTTTGACTAGTGCCGTGATTCATAAACTATACTGGTAAGGTATTATTATTAGGTATTTAATATATTGGCAGTTGTAGTACGTCTCTTTCATCACCAATAAATAACACCAGAGGGAGACTTTGTACAAAAGTCGATTGCTTGGGTACCTCTGTCCCATTCGTGTTTCAACCGTGAAGCAGTTGTGTTTGCATGGCTGTGTTTCGGTTTGAAGGGTGGGATATGGCGTGAATTTACTGGGTACAGAGGCATAACACCTGAGTCCTCAGGAATGGCAACGCATGGGGGGTATCATGGGCAAAACAGTATACTCTGTTATTACCATGGTACTGCTCATGTCTATAGGCGAGGGTTACCACTTTCCATCAGGTGGGCCGTCAGCTTGTTTGCCATTCTAAATTGTATAAAAAAAAACTTCTTGTTTTATCTACAACGAAGCTACAGGGCCTCATAAATGCAGTCGCTTCGAGAAAAGGATGGTACAGCTGCGCTTGCTTGGCGGGGCCACTGCCGTGTCATTCAAACGGCGTGAGCTCTATTTGCGTGCAGTTTTTAACTTTCGTAGAAATCCTGCAAGGTTGTTAGAGTTTGATTAAGCATTAGACGGGACAGTTACCATGATATCATTTAGACGTTGTAATATATAAATAGCCTAGTAAATAGCACAATTCGAAGAAATCAGTGTAAACACATAGAAGAAATTAAAGATAACAGATTAGAGACTGTACAATATTTGAAAGGTTAACAAGCAACTATACTAACAAAATAAAGCCCTAAGATCATTTTGTTGACTTCTTTATCTAACAATGCAAACTTTATTTATTTAATCCGCATGTTTATTATTTATTGTGAATTACATTAAACATCTTATAAGTGAATACAGTTATACATTGACCCTATTAGGATCATTGCATATTACGTTTTTGTTTTTAATCACGTTCGATTGTCAAAAAGTTTATTCAAAGTACAGATTGATATTATTTTCTCAGTGGGGAAAATGTTATTACATATCTCGTATCTTTTGGACTTATATAGGATATTGTGGGTAGGATTCTACGTGGAATTATCTATTATAATATCCATTTTTTTTTATTTATTTATTTGTTTAAACACTTTTGTTTAGGAAATAATTTCTCTTATTATCGATCATCACATTTCTCTTATCATTTCCTCACATAGAGATTTGTATTTAATTATTGCTCTAGAGATTTCTGAGGGTCTAGAAACCGCTGTGGATTTTATGACATTGACGTGTATTACACTTCGTCCACTCATGTTAGTGCGTCATTTACTTACACTTTACACTTCTTTCGCTGCCTCCTACCTCAATATTATTGTTTCATTTAAAGCGGATTTAGTACTTTATTTATTTTACATTTCAGTGAAATAAGAGGAGAATAAAAGTTGACGTGAATTTTTTATGTAGCTTTCTCCCCTCCCACCCTCTATAAATAGATTAGGTGAGATTTTATTAGACCTTGTTTAAAAAAGCAATAGCCGAGTTATTTGCCCATTTTTCAGAGTTAAAATTGAATTACGAACTGGAAGGTAGATTTATAAAAAAAGTAGTGTAGAAGGATTATTCTATCCAATCAACGGACACTAAAAAGTACCAATAGATATTGACAACTAATTCTCCATAGTTCGGTTGCAGATCCTGAAGTGTGGAATTGGAAGGACATCCGACGATGGTTGCGGTTTACCTCCGACAAGTTCGGTGTACGAGCGTCTCGCCGCCATCTGCTCCCGCGAACCGGCGCCCTGCTGCTCCAGCTTACAGAGGCCAACTGGCTTGAGGTGCGTATCAATATTTACAATATTCATTTGTTTATACTTATAAAACCCAAGGGCAATGCGTTTATTTTTTGAAAATGGAATGATGGCTCTGCCTGCGCTATCAGTATACCTTGAACTGTAAGAAATAGGTAAGGATAAAATGAGGTCAATTGGCCAGTGACAAGTCCAATAAGAATTAATTTACCGGAGGGAGACTTTGTACAAAAGTCGATTGCTTGGGTACCTCTGACCCATTCGTGTTTCAACCGTGAAGCAGTTGTGTTTGCATGGCTGTGTTTCGGTTTGAAGGGTGGGATATGGCGTGAATTTACTGGGTACAGAGGAATAACACCTGAGTCCTCAGAAATGGCAACGCATGGGGGGTATCATGGCTATAGGCAACTCAGGTGGGGCGTCAGCTTGTTTGCCATTCAAAATTGTATAAAAAAAAAACCACGATTTTTACCAGAGACTGCGTGGAGGTCAACGGTATATTGCTAGCAATGGAGCGTTAGAGACCATGTTTGCTATTTCAGTCAGACATTAATTTCTTAAAGTCTAGATTTAGTAAGGCTTTGATTAGTTTTCATAAAGTTTTGAATCTTATTAATTTACAATATAAATTAGCCTGGTCGATGTTATTCATTAAAAAAAAAACAAATACAAACTGTTAGTTTCTATGTAGATATGCGAGTTTGATGAGAAGGCGGCGCGCACTTTCTACACGTTCCTCGCACATGAGAACGCACGAGCTCACGGGCAGCCGCCGCCACCCCAGCTCCAGGAGCATCAGAGTACATCTACGAGCCAACCAGCCGCTGATGACTGTCGTGAGTTCTTTACAAGTTTGTTCTATTTTCAAATATGTAAATATTTTGAGAAGGATACACGAATTAGTTGCCCCGACTCTTAAAGAAAAAAAGTTTTATGTTAAGGCTCTATGGCTTATGAGCCGTGTAGATGAAGATGGTCCTCGTCGTTACATTAGTCGTAGAGTTGTCGCGTATTCATGTTCGTTGAAGCAATGAAATTTCTTAAAATAAATATAGGTACCGAATGCTCATCTGTGGGCGTCCTAAAGACGACTGTCTCTCATTTATGCTGGTATATTGTTGAATATTCGAATTTCGAAAGCATATTTGATGCCTTGACTCAAGGAGAATTTTATTTCTCTGAAATCGTACAATTTGTTGCATGATTCTATTAAAAACTTTCCCGTAATGAAATTTAAAAGATCATTAAACAAACTGTATAACTACATATACAATATTGACGAATTTAAGAGGATAAAATTTAATATACATATAATGTTATTAATTATATGTATGTAACATTCATTAATTAAATATGAATTGTCAGGCTCTCTAGCTATATTGCCATGCGTTCACGAAGCTTTATAAAATTAATATTGTAGGATCCTATCCTACAATATTAATTTACTATTATATAGATAGGGTGTCTCCATACAAATGCTTCGACAAAAACGAGTCAACTTTTTCATTAAATTTTGCGTGATAAATAATTACGAGTAATTCCTTCTTAACTTCTATATTTATTTTGTCCTATAAATTTTGCGCCAATTTTAAAGCGCAAATACTTATTTTATTTATTAAATAATTAAATATAGATACGTCAAGATACATTGTGTGCGTAAGTATATAGAATATTAATAAAAAACGAGTTAATTACATTAAAAAGTTGACTCGTTTTTAGGGCTCGATGCTCTATCTATATTATCTAAGGATCTTGTATAGAAAGTGGATAAACACTTTTAATATATCTGCATTGTATTTTGTTATACTGCAATAAATATTGATTCGATTTGATTATAATTCAGCCTACATTGAAACTTATTGTAAAAGTTAGGTTTCAAAATTAAGAGTGCTATATTCTGCGTTTCAGTTATACCTACCTATTTGGATATTGTACAATGTTTTGTTTTAAATTAAAAAGTCCGGTTTTATTAGGGAATGGGTTTTGTTTAATCTACTGTGACATTAAGTAAAGCATCTATTTAATTACTAAAATATTATTATCGTATTGGAAAACATCGCGTCCTGAATTTTTTTATTATTTCTGACTCTGACATTAAAATATTAATTTGTTATGGAATGAACATTATGTTATCACAAACTGAATATAAAACTGAGATCTATGGCCACTGTAAATGGATAGTTTCCGGGAAACTAAATACTTGTTTTATATTATTGACCAACAAGAGTTATAGTGGGTTTTACTTAATTATATTGGCATTATATTGATTTAATTATAATTTTATTTATATTGGACCTAAAAATAAAGATTTTGATGTACCTAATATCAAAGTAGATATTATACGGATATGTAGCGACATAATTCTAAATCGCGCCATCTAGCGACGTTATAAGACATTATTATAGAAAGCGCGGGAAAAAATCATGAATGGACGCGCAATGAGTCAGCGCGGTGGCCGCGGGCAAGATCCATTCATCTTTGGCCCCGCATCACCTGACTCATGGTTTCTTGGAAATGGATTGTTACATACTGTAATTACGTGCCGATCGACTATCACCGTGATGGCAGAATGGTTTCGGCACTCATAATAAATAGAGATCACAGACATTTGTACGGTCATAGAGAGTTCTTTGAAAGACCGACTAAATAACACAGTTGTGGGGGATCTCCAAGAATAGCCATTCGGTTAATACTTTAAATAATTTATTACAGTAATGACTGTGCTTGCGACTAGTTATCGAAATTAATTAAATTTTTAAAAAACATAATATGGAATTTACTTACGCTATCTAGGAATTTTTTTCGTAACATACATTCATATATTTTATATACCTCTATACCAGACCTGGGCAAATGGCGGCGGTAGAATTATGTCTGGCCCCTGAAGCATTGTATATATTATATTATTAAAAACACAAATATTAGTTTTTGTCTAACATAAATTGGCGCATAAAACATTTTACATAAAATATTTATTTTATATTACAGCAACACATTATCAGGGCCGGTGAGAGCCAAAATTTTCTCCCGGACAACCGCTCTTTTCAGCGCTTAATAAATATTTTGATTCAAAAATGTTGGTTTTAAAATTCATTAATTAACATCCTTAGCAATTATTAAACTTAAAATTATAAAAAAAAAAAACTGTTTGCCCCGGGGTCAAATTTTCATCTGCAATGTGGCCCGACTATCAAAATATTTGCCCACCCCTGCTCTATACACTTTACAAATAAATTCTGAGGTATGGTACCTCAGAATCTACCTAAATCATTTTTCTTTATTCTTTATTCCATATTTTTTTCTAAACCTAATTCTTGACCTGTTTTAATAGTCAGAAAATTTGCACAAACAAGCATTAACAATCTTAAAAATTAATTAAAAAAAAAAAACTAACACTCAATCAATATATTTCATATAATATATTCAATATATTACACATTTATTATAAACTACGTAGCATTGTTTCAGTTTTTATTCAAATTGTTTCAATTCTACTAAAACGGTTCATAAAAGTTTGGGAATCATTGTTGCACTATCACCCTAACGAGGATGATAGTTCTATTCGATTAAAGATAACGTATAATGTTCCCTGGAGGCAGTTGAAATGGCGCAAAGTGCCCCAAAACCGAGCCAGTGTAATGATTCAATCGCGCCCATGCAATGGCTGGCCGTTACATTAACATAGCTATCTTTATTTGTTTCCCGAGATATGTGGTAATGGAACGGATAAATAGTTTTTAAATTAATATTTATATAATTGCAAATTGTTAAAAGTATTTCTAAAAATGTATATTTAAAAATTTGTACTTTTATTTAAAGCAACTTAGAATGGCAAACAAGGTGACAGCCCACCTGATGGAAAGTGATAACCGTTGCCTATAAATATGAGCAATACCATGGACATAATAGAGTCTATACTCTCCATGCGTTGCCATTCCTGAAGACTCAGGTATTATTCCTCTGTACCCGGTAAATTCACTGCCATACGCTACTCTTCAAACCGAAACACAGCGATGCAAACATAACTGCTTCACGGTAGAAACAAAATATTCTACAATAAATATTATAAATCTGCAAGATGCACTAAAAACTAACTTAAACCAAAGTAACTACTTAGTAAAAGTTTAGTTACTGTGACTGACTTCTACACTCTTTGGGTCATGCATAATAGCTGAGCAGATTTCAATAAAATTTTGCACAAAAATCGACTATATATTATTGAGGATCAGTATAGGGTATAGCTCCTTACTCCTCGACTGCAGTATAACTGAGCGGCGACCATTTCTGCAAACATTGCTTTTTTTTATACAACTTCGAATGGCAAACAAGCTAACGGCCCACCTGATGGAAAGTGGTAACCGTCGCCTATAGACATGAGTTATTATTTTGGAAATAGAGAGTTATTTTGGAAATATATATCATGTACAGAATTGACCTCTCTACAGATTTATTATAAGTATAGATTTTTTAATAATTTAATAAATTTATTTGTTAAATATACCTAAGTCCATAATTGGACCTAATTAGGTAGAAAGCAACTTTCCTATACGGACATCCCAAGTAATGTGATTGTTTTTTGCATACCCAATGTACCAATTCGTTTTGGAATTTTGTTTAAATTTCTGTAGTGAAAAATTAGTCATTTATAATACCGTGAAAAACACAGTTAATAAATAAATGAATACATATTAATGACTATAAAACTTTTTATAATAAATGACATTCGCATACCAGCGTTCGATTAGCTTGGTCCCTTTCTAAGAAACTAATATAAAACTAATTAAATTATGCAGAAAGCGTTAATCAATATTCAGACATAAAACCACTAAGGTCTTAACAATATGGAAATATAAGATTTTTAATTACTTATATACTGAGTCCACAGGAATGGCAACGCATAGGGGGTATCATGGGCGAAACAGTATACCTACTCTGTTATGGCCATGGTACTGCTCATGGTTATAGGCGACGGTTACCACTTTCCATTAGGTGGACCGTCAGCTTGTTTGCCATTCTAAGTTGTATAAAAAAAATATATTCTATTATTTAAATTAACCCTGTTCGCCGCACCATAACTGTCAAATTTCTAGCTTTGACTTCCACGAAACAGGCCTTGCCTAGTGTGGAATCATAGTTATATTGTACCATAGGTTAACTTTGTTTAAGGAAATAAAATTTATTATTAATAATTATTATATTAAAACTCCAGTTGGTGTAATATGGTATATATTTAAGTCGATTGGTACATATGTATGCCTGAAAGTATTCCCAGAGATACGCCAGAGGTTTCCACCAGCCGGTGTGATGTTTCTAAAGTTAGTATAAATAGATAAATAAATAACTATTTTCCAAATCGTTGTAGTAGATCCATCAAACGAAATCACTATTAGGTATTTCCTTTTATTACGAGTTTAGAAGTACAAAACTCGATTCGTGATTCAGTGAACTTTTTTGGCAGCGTATACAGGATTCTTGATTGAGGAATGCGCGTTCGCGTGCTCTCTGAATGCTAGCTATGTGCTGTGCTATGTGACAGATCATCCCGAATACTTGTCACATTTGTCAGCTAAATCTTGTAAATAATTACGTGTATAGGTAGGCGCCACGGTCGCGGTACTATTTATAGCCGAGGTCATTATACCTAGCGATGTTTGTTGACCTAGTGTGTAAGTTTCGATAATGGCCAGTCTCATAAATAAGAAAGTGTATAGAAATGTTTAATTAAACATTGTTATATTTTTATAGTCTTTTAATAATAGACGGTTTATTTAATTATTGCATATCCTTTATTCATTTCTCAGACAGCCATTATTACACAATACTATTTAATCAACCA